TAACTTGATATTAAATATAACTATTTCTCACGTAGTGTTTGTTGATACTTGGATTATTTTATATTTTATAAACTGACTATATTAACATTGTGATGTCCTAGGAAGTAGTCAATTGTCCGACTCTGCATTACTTTCAATTAATTTTATAGCTAGTTATCCAGCTGTTAACATAGAGATAACTTATTGATATATGTAATTCAAATTTTAGTCAACGAAAAAATAGGTGTTTACACGTAATTAAATGAGTTTAAAAAATCTAAATTTTAATAAAATTAAAATTTATACAGTAGATATCGGATATAATAAACTCAAAAAAGTCAGAGATTTCATTCTTATATGGGTTTTTTCTTATATGGAATTATCAGATATAAGAAACTTGTTTCTTATAAGAGTACATACGCATATAAGAAATCTATTTTTTATACGAATATATTTTCTTAAAGTAAAATGTTAAAATGAAAAGCATGTTTTAAAGAACAATATTTTATTAAATAAAACAATTCAGTATATAAAATACAAAGTTACGAAATTAAATTATAGTTTAGCAAGAAAAAAAAATGCATTATCTTAAAAACTAAAAATTTTAATCAACAAAAATAACAAAATTAAAATCTTTTCACAGTTTGACTAACAATATTTAAATATATTCAGTGTGACCAACAATCTTAAATATGTTCTTATACGAAACGTTTTCAAATACCTTTGTCATCTTTGATGTTTGGCAATCCTTTCTTATATCAGTGTTTTTCTTATTCGCGTTTTTCTTATATGAAGCAATTTGTACACTGAAAAGATGTAAAAAGGCTCGGTGTTTTTGATAATCTTTCTTATATCCGATTTTTTCTTATATGAGATGTGCTTATATTCGATATCTACTGTAGTAATAAAAATTAAAAAAGATCACTTCAGTATTTTTTGATAATCACTTAAAATGCTTGAGGACCTTAATAGCTGTTTTTTGACACCAAAATTGCAATAAAACCAGAGGTTCAGAGGTTCAATTGTTCTCGTTTTTTAATACAAGCATTCGCACTTATGGTCAGTTCCATATTTTCCTCGGTTAAAATTTTCAACAATTCTTGAAAACAATCTCGGGACTACTTGTGTTTAAAATACCACTCACCTAATTTGTTTCTTAACGATTTTTTTGGCGCACCTTCTTCACATGGAAAGTCATCGCAAGGGCTTATAAAATCGGAACCTGCAAAATTTCTCGATGCTAGTTTTATAGAACGTGATATTCTTTACGTTTTAAAAAATTATCTTGGAATTACGTTTTCATGTTTTTTTATTCTTCTTGTATTCAAAAAACCACAATTTAATTTTACTTTTCTGCTAACAACTTTTAAGCGAATAAATCGACGCGGTTTTGTAAACTAAAATTTAACTTCCAAGTCAATATTTTTTCTAAATTATTTTATTAAAGTAATTCAAATGTCAATAATTTAATGGTATTTAGATGTCATTTGACGGCAGAATTGTCGTCACAACAGAAAAAATCCCCTAAGTCTGGGTTTACACATGCAACTTTTTAAGCAACTCTGCTGCTCTCCACGATTCTCTTTTGAATTTCTTCACCCTTGCCACTTTTTATACCTTTCATTTCTAAGAACTCAGCTTACAAAAGTTGCATGTGTAAACCCCCAGTAATACTGAAGAATGGCGCAACCACTCGTATATCTGGTAAGTGTTGCAGCCAGGTTATTGACAATTTTTAAGTGTTCGTTTGTCACAACATCATTCACCCCTCACTTCAATACGGACTTATCTTGTTTGGGCTAGATTCTAATGACCAATGTATGGTTCTGCCGAGGTAGATCTGCTTAACATGTATAAACCGCCGAATAATAGCTACGAACTGTGTGTTTTGCTTAACATTATCTTTCTGCAGGAGGGCAAAAGCCGTTTGTTTCTATAGGATTCATTGCTCACCATGAGTTGTGTCATTACTTCTTAGGTAATAACCATGTTCTACACGGTAAATGAGGATGCCCTACCATAATAAGGGGAAAATGTCACAGATCGCCTGACATAACCACTGTGTCATCGGGTCAGATAAATTACGCCAACAGACAGCCCGTCATTTCCCATCTAATCAACTCCCCATAATTGTTTCCATCAGCATACCACCTGATTTCATCACTTCCAAACTCCACTCTTCCCTTTACTAATGAAAATCCAACTGACAGGGTTTCAAAGAGTTCGCCAACTGGAGTTTCAGAGAAATTTCCATTTCTCTGGTTAAAATAAAGAAATATCATATATAATTCCCCATATATAATTTCCCAGCAGTGGGTGTTGAACTAGCAAATGAGCGTGATGAGTTCCGTCGAATTCCGGCAATTTGCGTTGGAGGTCTACAGATTAGTCGCAGTGCATAAGGGGAATAAATGGTTACTTCATCTGAAGTGTTGCAATATTGGAACCGGTGTGAGTAAATTGTGGGCAACGGTTAAGTCGCTCTCGAACTCTGATTGATAGGACCTCAGTCACATTAAACGTAACTGTTACTGATCCGAAAAGAAGCCCCAGTTATTTTAACCAACCGTCTGTAGAGTATACCGAGAGTGACAGAGGAGAAGCAAAGATTACTACGTCATATAAGATCTCTGCCCCCGGAGGAGGGACCACCACAATTTACAATGGCTGATGTTGCATGTGTCATCCGTAACGCAAAGGTGGAGCCATTACCGGAGCCGGGACAATGCAAACAAAGGTAATCGTACATGCCGATTTCCCTTTTGTCACCAGTAGCGAAAACTCTTGAGGAATTACTCCTCCCCCAGCATTAGAGAAAGCTATCCAGTGGCTTATCATCTACATGGGTTCCGTAAGCAACACAGCACAAAAACAGCACCATCTCCACACATACATGCCGTGGACTTAACCAGAACCGGTCGTCAAAATCATTTGATACCATAAATCATGCCACACTGTTTGAGAACATCGAGAGCACTTCCCTCCGGCCAAGTTTGAAATGTTGGATAACCAACTATATGTGTGGGCGCCAGACGGACGCGGAGTTCCGTAGGGTGAAGCTGGGAGTTCCCCCGGGATTGTTTAACCTTTCCGGTATTCCATGCCCTCCGGACGGCATCGAGATCGTTACATATTGTTGAGGACATATGTTTGGGGTTAAACGCCTATCCCACAGAGGAATATGAAAATATCCGAAACTAAGTCGTCGGCCACACTATTCACCACATGGACTGCGGAGATGAGATTGTTATTAAATGTGCATTTCGAGCGGCACACAATTCCGACCACCAAGGTCCTCAAGTCACTTGCCGGCAGCACTTTGGGGCGCAGAGGAAACCTTGCCGACATCTTACAAACCGACAGGTCGGTCTGTGGCTAGCAATGCGGTACCACTGTGGTCTGCGAATAGTAGTGTTACACAATAGAGACGCCGCCATGAGAACTGCCAATGTACTATTTCATGAGGAGATGAAGATGCTTCGCTTACGTCAGCATAGCAACATGCGATCGTTACAGTACTTGTTCGGGTGCTTCTGAGACAATCATCCTAACCATCATATCGTGGATAAGGCGTGTCAGGAAAGATCTGCATGTTCTAGAGAGAGAGAGAGAGTTCAAACGTTATAAAAGGGAGCCTCTAGATCAAGTTGCCTATCGAAAGCCGCACTCGGAGCTCAGCCCCATCTATCGCAGCTGCCCAGACAAACCAGATTAGTTTCCAATGGCATCTGTTGATTGTTGTCCGGCGCTTTAGCTTTTAAAGCCACCTCCTTATCTTCCTAAGGTTGCACAATATGCAGTTGTATATCATTGAAGAAAAATTATTGTAGTCTGTATGGAAAAAAAAATCCGTCACTACAAGAAAAATCTGCTCTGAAAAGGAATGTTCTGATGTGATGCCAAATGTCCGAAACTTGACACGGTTGAATTTAATTCGTAGATGCAATTTCGCAACAATACAAGTTATCAAGTAACGACATTTGTAAGCCACATTGCCCAATATGGCTGATGAGCCGCTCAATCGACGATGAAACGTGTCGCATAATGATGGGAATTGTAGTATCTCTCTGGCTATCCTTCTCATTGCAACTCCGATCATGTAGCTCATCTCGAAAGAGAAATTAATAAAAAACATTAAACAGATTAGTTTTGGCCCAATTACGTTCAGGATGGTGCAGACGTTTCAACTCATATTCGACACGTATTGATGACCAGGTGCAGAATATCTGCCCAGCATGTGGTACGGGCCTCATACCGCACTTCACTTATTCAATTCAAATTTAAATCTAACCGAAGATCTGTGGTTGCAGTCAGTGGAAGTAGCCGTATTTCTTAACATGGAGACAGAACCTGACGGAATCAATTAGGGAAACAAAACTCATATAAACTGCTACAACAACAACAAATTTTAAAGTTTGTATTCCCAATTTCCATTTTTAACACGTTAAAGGGTATATCCTTACCTTTTTTATTCTTTTTATCCACAACGATTTTCTAAAAAATACAGTTTCTTTCCTTTTAATTTCATGTAAATTTTTTATTCAATTTATCAGTGATAATATAATAATTTTTCAATAAATCTTCTACTACAAAAAACGAGTTTCATTTGTTAACCTTAGTTTTGAATGGCTAATAATATTATTATGTTTCATGGCTAATAATATTATTATGTTTATGTTAATTTCATTGTTTTAGATTTGATTTGCAAATACTTTACTTAAGTATATAGAAAATATAATTTCAATACTACTAACGCTATGTTAATCTCAAAAAGTGGTCTCATTATGTTGATTGTTTCAAATGTAAACAAAAAATACTTTAAGCAATATTTTCGTTACTGGCCATTTGTGAAGGGGTTCCAGCTGTTGTTAAGCCACAAAATTTCCATTTAATTTTATGAGTATTTTCATTATCGCCGAGTTGTTGAGATTTTTCAAATAGATTTGAATATCTTGCAAGTATTTCATTTAAATGGTTAACTTGTAGTTCAGTTTGTTTTGTAATGCTGCAAATATACGAACATATTTCGGAGGCAAATGAACCCATGGGTTGGATGAGCAAATATGCTGTGGCTAAGGCAATTATTTTGGCATCTTCCAGGAGTGAGGGAGACTGAAATGAAGAGGAAAATAAGAATAAATATGAAAACAATACTCATTATTGTGAAATATTCCATTCTACGCACCTTTGTTTCAACCTTCAACTCCTCAGGTTGTTTCTCCTCAGCTTTGTTGAGTACTTCTTGTCCAGATTTCTCTTCAACAGTGGAACTAGTTTCCACAATTTTATCTCCTGGTTTCTCTTTTATAATTTCATTTGTCACATCACTGATTTCCAATATTTTCACCTCATCATCATCGTCTTCGTTCTCTTCATCCTCATTTTTATCCACATCAATATCAATGACTTCGGAGTTATCATATTTCTTCACTTCTCCCATGGCATCACGCAACTTTTCATTTGTTTCTTTGATTTTGGTCTTCAGCAGTAGCTGCTTAACTCCCGCCTCTTTCAGGCGTTTTTCCAGCATTTCGATGTGTTTAGCATCTTTCTGTTCGCGCATTTTCGTCTGCAACAATTGTGTTTGCATATTTCGTATGGTCTCCTGCAACACTTTCATTTGTTTTTCACGAAAATCACTGTTATACTTGAGATCGGTCCGCTCAAGGCTCATCTCATTGCGCATCGCTTCCAATTGACAGCGTAAGGAGTCATTTTCTTCCTGGAAATGGGATGAGAGAAAGAGAGAAGGAAAGGGTTTTGATTAAAAATAAAAACAAATTGTATGTATTCTGATATTTTGAGAATCGACGCCTAAATCGATTTCGCATTCTCAGAGTATAGGCCCATTATTTTTATCTGTTGTTTATAAAGAAGCCTAATATCGACAATTTTAGTAAGGAGGATATAAGACTGTTTGCTTATTTAGAACCTATATCAAAACTCTAAATCCGTCTAATTCCGTCGTAATTAGTTTTAGAGGTTTCAAATATCAAATAGTCAAAAAGTGGACTTATGCCTTTAGTTTTTGGAAGACAGTTTGCATTTCTTTATTTCTAGGATATTGGTCATGTTTTCCAACCACATTCCTGTAAATGGGAATATTAGTATATATATGACTTAATTTTTGATCAAAAAACATTTCTCAAGATCTTTAGAAAAAAAAGACTTCTTCTGAATAAAGAAAGGCGGTTGCGGTATGTGGGGCTTTATTCTGCGTGGTTGAAGCATTCTCCATTGCAAATCCAAACTGAGGCAGCAGAGTTGAGAACAGATCTGTTTACAGCTTTGTAAACAGTCATGAGAACATCCATGTCCTTGCTCCATGCGGAGTCCGAGATGGCTTTGATCACCATATTACGCTTCTGGAGAATGTCAGATGTCGTGCCTAATCTTGCTCTAGCTTTCGTTTCTCCGTCATAGATGACAGCAAGAGGGACTCCAAAACATTAGCTAACTTCGATATTTTGGGCAGATCGATAGTTTTAGGCATCTATAAGACATAGTACGTATGATCAAACATATTTCTCAAGATCTTCAGAACAGAAAAAATACTTCTTCTGAATAAAGAAAGCTGGTTACGGTACGTTGGGTATTATTTTGTGTGGTTTGAAGCTTTCTCCATTGATAATGGCTCATAAACGAAGTCGAAATTGGAGGAGCGAAGTTGAGAACAGATATACATTCAGCTTTGCAAACAGTCATGAGCACCTCCTTGTCTTTGCTCCATGTGGTGCCCGAGATGCCCCAAAGCTTGTGTGAACCAGCTTCACAATTATCAAGATGCCTCATCCAAATCTCACTGCGGTGCTGGTTTACGAAATCATTTATCAGATTTCAGATATCAGAGCTGATATCCTCGGGTCATCTAGTGATGTATGACGTGGCTGCGATTATGTCCTCTGGCGTGAATTGTAGGACAGCTTCCTTTGCAAGTTGTTCGTTCTCCTGAGAATTGCTCTTTTGCTCTGCTGCATGTTCTACAAACTCCTGGCAAAATTTAACAATTTGACATCCGATACAGTACCAGTGAAACTTACAACTACATTTCCTCCACTTGTTTTGGCAAAATTTTGGAAAATCTTAATTGTAGCCCAAAGCTTGTGTGAACCAGCTTCACAATTATCAAGATGCCTCATCCAAATCTCTCTGCGGTGCTGGTTTACGAAATCATTTATCAGATTTCAGATATCAGAGCTGATATCCTCGGGTCATCTAGTGATGTATGACGTGGCTGCGATTATGTCCTCTGGCGTGAATTGTAGGACAGCTTCCTTTGCAAGTTGTTCGTTCTCCAGAGAATTGCTCTTTTGCTCTGCTGCATGTTCTACAAACTCCTGGCAAAATTTAACATTTTGACATCCGATACAGTACCAGTGAAACTTACAACTACATTTCCTCCACTTGTTTTGGCAAAATTTTGGAAAATCTTAATTGTAGCCCAAAGCTTGTGTGAACCAGCTTCACAATTATCAAGATGTCTTCCAAATTTCTCTGTGGTGCTGGTTTAAGAAATCATTTATTTGTACCGTCAGAGCTTGTATCCTTGGGTCATCTAGTGACGCCTGGCTTAAAAGTTCCCTTTAATATGCTAGTCGTGTTGCGGTTGTTGGATAGCTTGTCCTGCAATTGGGTATTCTCCCTGAAGGAATGCAACGTTTTGCAGCACGAATCAATATTGTTCTGAATAGTCTCTCTCCCTTCCTGGCGCACAAGTTGACTGCTGTTATCGTTAATGAAACACGGGTTTGGCATGATGTTAAAGGCAAAAGTGACGGGCTAACAAAGCTGTTATCAGGAGAGCTGGAAAAGTTTGCCGTGAATCGGTAAATCATCGTTAATCCGGGAGAATTCCGATTAACAACATTACGTGCAAGTCACTCCAGATCTTCCACTTCTGACAGCATGTTGGATACCTTGTTTGAAAGAAGGCAGATATCATCCGCATAGTCTAAGTCTTCGAGCTGGCGTGAGAGACTCCATGTTATGCCTCTTCTCTGCAAACTTCATTCATTACTTCATCCAGTACAATTGTGGACAGTAGGGTGTGACAGAGTACATCCTTGTTTTACTCCTACATTGGTGCGAATAGGGCGTTGGCCTGGTCCACGCGGCTCCTATTTGTTCTAAACCCAGCTTGTTCTTCTTTTAGAATGTTTTCTATTTGACTTTGAATTCTTTTCTGTATTATGGTTCCCAAAATTTTATATATGATGTTGACCAGGGTTATTCCTCTCCAGTTGTTATAATCTTTCAAGTCAACATTTTTGGGTAATATCACAACAATGCCGTTCTTCCAAGTTGGAGTCAGTCTCTCTTCCTCCCAAGCTGAAATGTTGTGAGGTCGAAGTAACTCAGCTGCGGTTCTGCCGTCGGCTTATAGCTCTTCCGCCGGTATACTATCTTCTACTCATTGTTTGTTAGTAGACTACCATTACGATCTTTAATTGCTTGGCTACTGGTTCACCTCCCATTTGTGAGACTATATATCGTTCGGTGTAGCTTTCTCATGTTATTATGGCTAGCTGCTTCATCGGTTCCTCTCTTTGAGAAATTAGTGTTTTTGGACTACGCCCAATGTTTTTTTTCGCAATGTGATGTCTTCCCATGTATGATGTTTGTTTATTCGTAACTTTTCGCCTATTTGCCGTATTTAGGGTATTTCTTACAGTGTTGTTATGGAGTTATTTTAGGCGTAATTGTTTTCGACTGGTTTCCTGGTATTACTACTCTTTAAAATAATTATTTTCGAATTATTCTACATGGTTAGATAGCATCGGAAACATGTTTGAAGGCTGGGTTGTTGACACGTGTTTGGATGGATCAAAAAGAATTTCATGATCTCTCAATAATTTAGAAAATATTGTATCTATATCGTCGTTTACCCATGCGGTTTACGTTATGAAATGACACATGACTCGGTTCATCAGCAACGTAAAATCTGGGCCCCTTTTAACAACGTTAGGGCTGTTACACTAGCCCCAAATCCCAAATTGTCCCTATTTTTAGGACGTTATCCTCATTTTTGAATCTATGTTTGAATCTATTTTCTGCAAAAAAACTACTTACCTTCAAATTATCACTATCGAAACGACGACGCTTGGCACTAGATGACGTTTGATAATCCCGGTCCTCATCGGACATTTCCATTTCATCATCATCGATTTGGATAGAACGTAGTTCCTAAATATTCGTGATGTAAAAGAAACCAAGATTCATTAAATATTCAATGCACTAACAAAGTTATTTACATAGTTTAACAAAAACAATAAAAATTTGCTTATAATCTAAGGTTATGTATAATATATAATTTAAATTTTGCAAAAAATCTTCTTTCTTTTCATTTTATTTTAAATCCAAATATACCTTTTTTATATCCACTTTTTATTTCTTTTACGCAAATTTTTGCGTTGACTTACTTACCTTTGATCACAAAGGGGATTTGTTTTTTTGGGAGAAAAATTTTAATGCTAATAGTTAGCATTGGATGTTGTGTTGATTTTTTTAAAGACAATTTTTTTTGTTATAGAAAACTTTTATCCAAAAAAAGAATACCAGGAAAAAAATCGACCAATGTTTTTTGTTTTTAACTTTTTATTAAGTTATAAGCATTGTAATTTTTTTAATTATTATTTATGAAGTTGTTGTTGTTTTCGTATTTGTTTAGCGTAAATAATTGAAAATGACATTTATTTTGAAACCAAATATATTTATCTAAAGGATATGATTGTGGTAGTATGATGTATAAGGTAACAACATTTAAGGCAGTTAATTACAGGGGTGGGGAGTTGAAATATTTTCTTTTTTTAATTAGAAATGAATTGGATTATTACAATTTGGACTCAGTCTCTAGCAGTAGTATATTTCAATTTCCCAATCTTTCAAAAAGGGAAATGGTGCTAATGGTTTAGTGATATTGAAACAAAAAAGTAAATAAACATGAATATCATGGTATAATAATAAAAGGTAACAGCAAGTGTTGTTGTACAAAAAACGATACAACAACCACATGGAAATTTGTTGTTGTAAGTTCTACTAGTGTCAACTCATTTGACAGAAAAATGTAAACAAACAAACAAATTATCATCAACTTATTTTTATTTTGAAAATGGAATATTTTCGAATCCTCAAAATAAAAATTGAAAAACATGAATGAAAATCTATCAAATTTATATTTCTATCGCTTCCACATCTTTCCTTTAATTGAGCCATTGCCATAAATATGGGTAACACATATGACAATGCTGGGAATAGCGAGTTATTCCTTCAAGAAAGATTTGCTTCCTCAAACTTTCCCAGCAGGCAGATTGAGTAAATTGAATACGGGAGCACATTAATAAAGAACAATTTCAAATTGTATGCGTTCCCAATTTTCCTGTTGGGTGATTTTTAAAAACATAATTTGTCAAATTCATATTGACACTAGTATTACGTTGGAATCAAATCAGCTGGGATTTGCTGTTACCTTTTATAATTATACCATGCATGAATATATAAAAGTGAATTAAGCATGCAAAATATTTAACAAAAAATGTCTGATATGTTAAAATTCTGTGATTAGGAAATAAACTGTGTTAGAAAGGAGCATTCACAAATAGAATAAATTCGAACAACGACAGAATTAAACCAGTAAGGAAAGTAGTAAAGTCGGACGGGGCCGACTCTAGGATACCCTTCACCACTATGGGTACATTAAACAGGACTATTAACATGAAATTGGATGAAATAAAATATGTGATATTTATCTAAATGTGAATCTACCTAGATTTGTCCATAAAGTGTGTAAATCGACTTCAAACAAATATAAATAGGTCATCCGGTTGACTATGTCTGTACTTCTAGAAAACGCAACTACGTAATTCTATGCTCAATTTTGTACGTTGTGCAAAATTTGATGTCAATCTGACTAACATGAGGAGTATGATGCCCAATTTGCTTGATATCGGGCGAAAAAATATATGTAAGCTATATCCACATATTAAGCGATTTCAAACAAACTTGTCACAGGTTAGGTTATACTAACTTTAGAACGTTTTGTTCCTATTGGTTCCTTGGTGCGTCAATTACATAAAATCAATCTATAATAAAATGGAGCTAAATCTAAATCTGGACCGATTTTCACGAAACAAGGCAGACATCACTCTAGGCTCAATTCAGTACGTTATGCCAAATTTCGTGCAAATCGAAAGATATATAGCGACTTTGGTGAACCATTTACATGAAATCGGACGAAACTATATGTAGGAGCTATATAGAAATATGGACCGATTTTATCGAAACTTGGCAGACATCACTCTAGGCTCAATTCAGTACGTTGTGCAAAATTTCGGGCAAATCGAAAGATATATATGGATGTTGGTGCACAATTTACATGAAATCGGACGAAACTATATATGGGAGCTATATCTAAATCTGGACTGATTTTCACGAAACTTGGCAGACATAACTCTAGGCTCAATTCAGTACGTTATGCCAAATTTCGTGCAAATCGAAAGATATATATGGATTTTGGTCACAATTTATATGAAATCGGACGAAACTATATATAGTGGCTATATCTAAATCTTGACCGATTTTCACGGAGCTTGGCAGACATCATTCTAGACCTAAATGATTAGGCTGTACCAAATTTCGTGCTAATCGAAAGATATATAGGGACTTTGGGGCCCCATTTACATTAAATCGGACGAAACTATATATGTGAGCTATATCTAAATCGGGACCGATTTTCATGAAACTTGGCAGACATCATTCTAGGTCCAATTAAGTACGTTATGCCAAATTTCGTGCAAATCGAAGGATATATAGGGACTTTGGGGCACCATTTACATGAAATCGGACGAAACTATATATGGGAGCTATATCTAAATCAGGACCGATTTTCTTGAAACTGGGCAGACACCATTCTAGACTCAATTCAGTACGTTATGCCAAATTTCGTGCAAATCGAAAGATATATAGAGACTTTGGGGCACCATTTACATGAAATCGGACGAAACTATATATGGGAGCTATATCTAAATCTGGACCGATTTTCACGAAACTTGGCAGACATCACTCTAGGCTTAATTCAGTACGTTATGCCAAATTTCGTGCAAATCAAAAGATATATAGGGACTTTGGGGCACCATTTACATGAAATCGGACGAAACTATATATGGGAGCTATATCTAAATCTGGACCGATTTTCACGAAACTTGGCAGACATCATTCTAGACCTAAATGATTAGGCTGTACTAAATTTCGTGCAAATCGAAAGTTATATAGGGACTGTTTACATTAAATCGGTTAAATATATATATGAGAGCTATATCTAAATCTGAACCGATTTTTCCCAATTTCAATAGGGTTCGTCCTTGGGCCAAATAAGTGACCTATGCCAAATTTCATCCAATTCGGATCATAAATGCGACCTGTACTTTGTTTACAATTTAACATGGACAGACGGACGGACGGACGGACGGACGGACAGACGGACATGCGTAAATCGACTCAGAAAGTGATTCTATGCATATTCTCAAAAGGAACCATGAGTCTATCTCGATTATTTTTGCCTGTTACAAACATATGCACAAAGACATAATACCCTGTACCACAGTGTGGTGAAGGGTATAAAAATAAAAAAGAATGTCGTAAAGTTCGTCTGGACCTTCATCATAAGATGGACACTCAGAATACCTAAAATCTATCGGGATTTTTATTTGGAGGTACACCCAATTTGGCAGTACACCAAATAAAAATTTAAAGCATGAAACTATAACTGCTCATCCGAGGACCTCATACGCTTCGCAGCCACTAGTTGTGTTAGAGGTTTGGTTCCCTGAGTTGCAGCTGTCACAGAGGTCAACACAGCTGTCACCAGCACTTCCTGCTTCGTATTCACAACTTTGGGTTTATCCAGCAGTAACTGCTCTATTCTCACGTAACAGCAGGCGGCTCTGTCTTTCTATACGCCTTACAGAAGGCGCTCCTATTGGTCGACTTCGACAATACCATACCCTCTTAGAGAGATCTGTTTGATTAGAAGTCTCTAACATAATATCACCTCTGACATAATTTCTTTGGCACAATGAGTTTGGTTGTTGTAGAACAACTTATTGGTCTCCGGTAGATCTTTTCGTCAGAAATTTCTTTGGCGCGAACCCCTCTTTCTTTTATGCCGATCTTTCCTGAGACGCTTGGAGTTTTTATCCGCGATATGATTGGATGGTTTGGATGGTTCTATCTGAAGCACCCAAAAAGGTAATGTAACGAAATCATATTCCTAGGCTGACGTTTGTCTCCTTATGAAAATGATCCACTGATGTAATGAGGAGGCATCCTGTTACAGTTCTCAGTGAGGCGTTCTGACAGGTCTGAATATTGTTCATTGTGTAGCACTAGTATTCACATACCATACTGGTATAGCTGTCCACAGACCGATCCATCGCCTTACAAGAGGTCAACAAGGTTCCCTTATCTGAGACCCATGCCGTCAAGCGACTTGATGACCTTGTTCCTACCTTTTTATGGAATACCGGGAGGGTAGAGGTTAAACAGTTCCGAGAAATCACTCCGCCCTGTGAGACTCCCTGCTTCACTCTACGGGGTTTGGACTTCTTATTGTGGATCTCTACGCACGACTAGCGTCAAAACATATAATTGTTAACGCAACGCGGTATTAAAGGCCAGTTCTGGTTAAATCCTCGACTTATATGTGTGGAGAACGCGTGCGACGCTATTGTTGTGCTGTGTTGGATACGAAACCAATGCTGATGATCCGCATCTGGATAGCTTTCCCTAATGCTGGGAAGGAGTAAGACCTCTTGAGTATTCGCTACTGGTGACACAAGTGAAATCAGCCTGTATGATCCACGTTTCATGGTATCCTTGCCCGACTTTAGTAGTGGGACCACCCTGCTCATTGTCCAGGCTTCAGGAACGATTTGATTAGCTTTCGAAATTAAAATATGGAATCTGCTGGATTAAATCAATATCAGCCATTGTAAACCGTAGTAGCACTTCCTCGGCGGGAAGAGATCTTATACGACGTAGTACCCTTTGTTTCACGCTTTAGCTCCCGGTATACTCGACAAACTTTCAGTTAAAATAACTTGCGCTTCTCTTCGGATCAGTTACCGTGTCGTCGTAAAATTTATCATATCATTCTTCTTAACAGGTTTCGAGAGTGACTTAACATTTGCACACAGTTTACTTATGCCGTTCCAATGTTCTCATACCTCAGATAATCTAATTACATATTGGTTCAGGTAATGCTCCGCGAATAATCTGTTGACATCTAACTTGCGTTCCCTAATTCTGGAATATGCTGGATTAGATCGACGGGGATCATCACGCTCGTTTGCTATTACAACTGTCTCTGCTGGGAAACTAGGTCTCATCTCGGGTATTCGACCAGTAGGTATAAATATAGCGGCTGCAATAATGTCCCGGAATTTTCATTCAGCTACTCGTACACCAAGAAAACGGGCTGCGAGTTGAAGACATTTCTCAGACCGAGTGAACCGGCGGTTATATCTGGCGAAGTGCGACACTCTCCCCTTATTCTGATGGGGGGAATCAATGTTCTATACCAGCACTGTTCCCCTCTGGTATTTGCCAAGGGCCACAACTCAGGGTAAGCATTGAAGTCCCGTTTGTCCTCCAATATAAATCTAATCTACGATGGGTAAACGGAGCAAAAAGAATAAAGTAACGGTGCAGGGAGTTAATACCCCAGTACCTGTGGCAATCGTTGGTGAAGTCACAAGACACGTGTCGTCGGGATCAAGCGATTGTGATCCGGCTGCTCTAGGTGTGGATGTCTTGACACCTGCAGCTGTATCTGTTACAAGCGCATCAATTTCAAACCCTAATAACGTTGACGAACCAGCAATTTGCTTTCGGAGAAGGAGGTTCATCTCATCAAGGGCAAAATGAAATTCGTAAGGAAGTTCGAAAAAATTTTAGCCGCAGGCTCTCCATCGTGAGCTGCAGATGGAGAGGATCTCCCTCCCGAATCTAACTGCTCGATCAAAAATCTCCAAGCAGACCTCTGAATCGAGTGAAGTACTCCGACAAAGATGCGAAGATGACTTCTGATCCGAAACCTAACCCGAGTCAAAAGGCAAAGGAAAAGGCTACTGAGCACATCCCGACACCAACTGCCATAAGGGTGATCAACATGTGGAGGGATCTGTTTCAAAGCCTGATTCTACGCCAAGGGACAAAGGTGAAGCGGTAGGTGCTAAAGCTTTGAGTGGATCCGTGAGAAATGTCGACGGCTTTGGTGCGTTCTGGGAAGAAGCAACCCTGCTGCAGTCTCCTTATCTGAGATCCCAACCTGACGGATCCTCTCAGCCTTTTTCATAGAAGACAGTGGACCACCAATTTCTGGGTGAGGCTACTGCTAATAATGCAGTAGTAAAATGGCTTTAACCTAACATAATGTCCTGAATAAAAATGAGAGATCTATGTTGTTAATTAAAAATATGTTAAAAATGTACACATATATACAATAATTTTTTTACTAAAACATATATAATGTGAAATATACATATACAAGTGCCAAATCATGCAAAAACACCAATGAAAATTGTAAACAATATATTAAAAAATAACAATTATTTTAATGACCAGTGAGAAATGTTAAATAACACAAAAAAACAAGAAATATAAACATAAATGTTTTTTAGAGAAAAATAGACAAGCTTACAGACTTTTTTTAGTTTTTTTTTACTGCAGAAAAAACAAATACATACCGTGGCCAATTTCTTCCATTGATCGATGTTTTTTCTTTGGGCCTTGGTGAAATGGTCCCAAACCTTCTGATTCTTGTGACTAGCAGCATTAAACACTTTATCAATCTGAGTGACTGAATATATATATAATATATATATTTTTGGGTTTTTTATATATATGTATGAATATATATATTTTATATAGAGGCAATAAAAAATTACAATAAGGTCAAATGATAAGAATAATAGTAAACAAAATCAAAAAACACACAGCTTAAAAAGAAGAGTGGTGGACACAAGAGAAAGAAGACTCACAAGGTAATACAATTAATAAAAACACAAAATAAAATAAAAAAATCAAAATAATAAAAAAACAAACTTAAAATTAGCCAAAGTTGGATCTAGTAGAAAAATACTATGAACAGAGCAAGGCCAAAGCTTTGACTCTTTTAAAAAAATTGAATATATATGTTAAGTGGTTGGAGAAAAAGTAGATAATAACAACAAATTTACTGCTCCGAAAAACAAATCAATCCAAAATGTTTCTTCTCAAATATTTTTGGAGTTCGTGTTTTACCTAAGCTGTTTGTTTTCGTTGAAATCGAAATTTCATCATTTCATTGATGTTTGAAATCCATACGCAAGAGTCTGACCATTTATTTTCTTAAACCAAAAGATGTCCCCAGCTGTTGGCTGACTTCTAGAGGTTAGGAACTTGAATGTTACAAACCTTTTGCGTTTGTGCAGAGCATCAATTGTACCAAATGCTCCGCACATTGTTTTTGGTAAGTGTCTGTTTCTGTTTCTTTTTCTTCTTGTGATTTATTGTTGTTGGGAAGCACATTGATCAGATTGAGGTTTAGTGTAATTTACCTTTTGCGTTAAAGACCAAGAGAGGTCATTTGTTTGACTTTATTTTTCAAAATACGATGTGAAAGTTGTTTTTGAGAACTCAACTAAAATGTCAATACTATTCTATACCTAAACCGTTGAGTCTGAGATCGGCTGGCGATGTTGCATATATATCCTACACCACATGTAAAGTTAATGTAATGATTTTGGTATGGCGTTTTCGACTGGAATTCCTGGCGGAAATATCGATATGTGAAATCTCAATTGGGTTTTAAATAAATTTATTAACAAGTTAACTAGGTACGCACATAACCTAGCATACCATATGACAAGGACGGCTGCAAAAAATAGTTAACTTGCCATAAGAGTGAAAATCAGCGAAGCTCAACATCCTTACACGAATGGCAGATCATTAGACAAAGATCTGAATGAGTAGGTCAGATACATGAGAAAATCATGGAGAACTATATTGATAGCCCAATGCACAGTAATTACATCGATTCGGTAAAAAGGCACATCACACGGTAGGATGCTCTCCCCTTAGTCATGGCTGCTGGTGAAAAGCGAAATACAACTTCGAACTAAAGTGGTGGCGTATACTGTTAATGTGGCTGTGGTACATTTTTTACCAACCCTCTCCCCCTGTAATGTAGAAATGAAGATAATGTCAGACTCCATGAAAAAGTTGAGGTCTATGACCATATATCTTACATTGATTGTCGTAGTGCCTACTATCGTGGCAACATCCGTAGATCTATCTTTAAGTTATCAATGGGAAGAAAGAGCTTAAATCTACTGTATAGATTGTAGCATGTCACTACAGAATTAGGTGGCTCTATCTATTCCTACTTTTTTTTATCACATTTTTTAGGTACTTAGGATGACACACAGTGGACTAAATGCGACTGAGACAACCGATAACTAACTCGCGGTCTTGCATCTTTAATCTATTATTTTTTTTTTATTATTATTTTCCTTTTTTGTAACAACCTGAATAAACGAAAGGTAATAAATTTAGTTTTGTCCGGTTCCAAGTTCTCTCTACAATATTTGATTGCGCCGATTGGCGGATATGATCTTCGTCTCCTTATGAAGATGGTCAACTGATATTAAGGGGAGACACTTTGTTGCATGTCCCAGGGCGAAATTCTGACAGGTTTTTTTTCTATTTTGTGTCATTTATATTCGGAAACAACATATGCGTCGCATAGCTTACCACTGACCCGTGTATAACTTTATAAGAGGTGAACAAGGTCGCCTTGTCAGCACCCCAAGTGCTGCCGGCCATCTTGAAAAGGCTATCAAATGTTACACTCAAAATCTTGGGTTAGTTTGTGGTCGAAATCAGTTCTCCATCGACCATTATGTTCAGCGGGAGCTTTATTTCAGCCGTCCATGTGGTGAGTAGTGGAGTTGTTGATTTGGTGGCGAATATTTTCATATTCCTCAGATGAAGAAATTTTCAATGTCATCTATAATGAAACTCGACGCCATAATCGTGCAATCATCCGCATTTATTACTGTATAGATACCGTCCTTTGGTTATGGTAGAGGTCAAACAATTCCGCATAGATGAACCTTCAAAGTTTCCAACACGGCTGGAGATTTCTCTTCTCTAGGTCCTCCAGCAGCTTGGCATATTACACGACCTGTTGCGTTGAGGTGCTGTACATCTTAGGGAATTCATGCTAATGTTTGGTATCTGCAAAACTGTTTTTCATCATTGGTAGGAGTAGCGCCTCAAGTGACTTTGTTTCAGCCAGTACGATTTAACTCTGCTGACATCCTTGCCTTGTTTCAGCAGCATTGGGTGGCAAGACAAGGGCCGACAGCTAAGTACAGCTATTAAGTACCCTACCCCAGGTTTGCTTAAACAGTACCATTGAGATTCCTTCCGGGACCAACACTTTGGATGGCTGGATGGCGTTTCGAATATCATCTGCAATATGAACCTTCGTACATTTTGGTGGTACCTACTCGGCTCGGAGGGCTCTATTAGAACGAAGCACATTCCTTTTCGCCTTGTCACTCTCGGGGTGCTCATATAAGTCACAGTTACTTCGCGAAACGTGACAGCAGTTCTACCGTCCTTCCGGAATTCAAGAGTGTTGCAAAACTTCAGGTGTTCTAGCCGTCTTGTGCTCGAATACTAATCGGTTGACTTCAAGTTGTACGACAAAGCTCATTCGCAAATACCGTTGTCTTTGCTAGAAAGTTTGGTCTTACTTCGGGTATACGACCGGCGGTTGCGGTATATGGCGGTTGCTGCAACGGGGATGATGCCTCGGAAATTCCACTCAGCTACCCGAAGATATGAGAGAATGGGTAGTTTTCTGAATCGACGTTTGGTAAAATCTCTGAAACCTTGCCAATCAGCTAATTAAATCGGGTAGCCTATTTACGGAGACAATGATGGGGAGGTGGTCTGAGCCAATAGTGATGTCCATCGAACTGTGGCATCGAACCTTGCCAATCAGCTAATTAAATCGGTTAGCCTATTTACGGAGACAATGAAGGGGAGGTAGTCTGAGCCAATAGTGATGTCCATCGAACTGTGGCAATATCCACTAATTCTCGTGGGGGCATCCTCATTCAACGTGCAAAACTTATTTGCTCCGTCAGCGCTGTACCCTGCTGGTCATTCCCTAGGACAAAATTCCAAACCTCATGATGATCATTGAAATCTCCTAGAACCAGGCGGTTATTAACTTCTAAAAGTGGACTGATATTCGGCAAACAACGTGGTGTACAGCTTTTCATCGACGATATATTAACATATAGCGCCTGTATCTCGGCAGTTCCACACTTGACAGCTACGCCCATACATTCAATGTATGAGGGTAGCTGTAGTACAGACTTATCTCGCTCAAGCGAGCTGCAAGAGCAATGCATTTTCTAAGCGCGGGACAGCAATATGTGGTGTTAAGTGCTGCGTGTTTTGCTATTGAGGAGACTGCGGGGATGTCTCTTATTCCGACGACGACTATTCCTGAGACACGCTAGGAGACGTGCTAGCGCAACATGAAGCCACGTAACGCCTCGCAGTACTTCTGGATCCGGTTTAGTCCAGAGGAACCTGGAAAATTCGCCCATTCTCTACATCCATTGCATCTCACCGAGATGGATCTATGGTGGGTGCGGTTCTGACAAACACTACAGAACCAAGGTCGGGCGTTTCTTTCTATCCCGACAAAGAAAAGGTCAATGGTTGCTCTTCGAAAACCAAGGGTAAATGAATATGGTCCCCAAATTTTTATAAAAAAAAGTTCAACTGTTTTTCGACAAGATTATCGTAATCATAGAGCTCCTAATAAAAACATTCAGTAACCTTTGAATAACTCACCCCATATATCTTCACATAAAGGACAAAAATAATCTTCACGCTAAATGCTGTTTGAAGTCGAATAAAAACTTCTAAATCTCTATTATCTTCTAAAATACAAAGAGAACGTCCAGAAAGGACCCCCCAAAGGAATGTATTTTTAGGCAAATAGGTTTTGAATCAACGCCTTAATAAGTATATTTTATCTACTCCCTATATGATTTTTAAAAATTATTATATGTGGTGTAGGATATAAAGATTACAACAATGACTTCTATACATCTAATCTCTAACTATAGATCACAAATATTATTAAAAAGAAAAATACAAAAAAGGAATATATTATCCTAAAACTTTACCATCATTTCTATTCTAATAAAAATTTCGACATACCCAATTCCAGAACATACACACCACACACACACCCACATTTCCTCCATCAAGCATTCATTCATACCAACATAACGAAAAAAATTGCGATTTCATTTTTTGGCACTAACATATTTGTAAAACAAAAAAAGAAAACACATAAATTCCATTTAAAAAAACTTACATTGTGCAGCCATGGCCAACATTTGTTTACGAAAACTTTCACGTGCTTTACGCAAATCCTCCTCCAGCACTTGTTTATCAGCCGTTAAACGTCTAACATGGGCATGGGTACTTTGGATCATTGAATAGAAAACATTGGCGTTGCGTTTATTGCAATCACCGCGTTCCAACCACACAGTTAGGGTTTGTACACCCTTTATAAAGGTGTCATTGCTGCGTAAACTTTCCGCCACCAATGAAGCTTCATGATCACTATAATGCGGAATGGGTGGTGGTGATTGTGAACGTAAACGATCCAAGGACATACGTTCTCGATGACGTTGTTCCCTCTGCAGTTGCCTTTGTTTACACTGATAATCATATTGATCATCTCTGGCCTGGGCGTAGTCGACGTGTAGACGTGCAAATGTTGTTGTCTGATCGGTGCTAGTTGAATTCAGACGCAAACGATAGCCACTTAAATAAATGGCTCTATCAATGGATTCTTCTTGTCGAAATCGTATGTGACAGAAATTTTTCTTGGACATCCGAAGGGTGGAGATTTCACCACAACTTTCAAAAATTTCCCGTAAAATTTCTTCGGTTATTTGTTCGGGAAGACCACCAACAAATACGGTACGACAACCTGGTGGCCTATCACGTATTGTGGGCGGTGGTGCCGAGGGATTTGGTGGAAATAATATGCAGCTTTTTGTTTTGATTATTTCCTTAATGGGTTGTTGTGGAGTAACCGCATCTGCAGATGAAGGGAAATGATTAGAGCGGTATATTAAATAGTATTTGTTAAAATAGGCATACCCGTTCCGCTATTAACTTGTCCCAATTTGTTGACATCACCCCCACCCATAGCAGCAGCAGCCGCTGTTGTATCCGTTAAAGCTCCATTACCATAGGCCCCAAATTGTTGCATTTGCTGCATGGCCACTGCCATCATGGTGGTCGATTCTAGCAGATTATTTGCTGCAGTTTGTTGATTACCAGCCGCATTTGGAAAAAACATAAAAGCCGGATTGATACCAGGTATCTGACCAGTCAGCAGGCTATTTAGATAGACACTGCCATTGGCTAAATTTAAAGCATTTTTATCGGCCGAGTTTATTTTGTTAGCCCCGGCGGATTCATTTCCCACCATTAAGGTCGTGGCACCAGACGAGGAAGCTACCGTGGATGGTATTTCATTATCATCATTTTCCAAATCCATTGGTGCCGTGCCTTGATTGGGTTTAACTGGCCTGCTTGTGGGGCTTAATGATCCCAATATCGGTGCTGGTGGTGGTTCGGGTGTTCGCCTTATATTTGTGGGCATTGATTTGTCATTGAAATTTCTTGTGGCCGATGTTGTGGAAGGGGTATTGTGTTGTCCCGTAGTTGCAGTATGGCTTGTGGCATTGTTGCTATTCATTTGCATTGCTGCCGCCAAATGGTTGATGAAGTTCGTTTGTGGGGTCATGCCGGCTGCTGCAGCCGCTGTATTGAAAAATGGCACTGCAATGAAAATGTAAACAGAAATCATATGATTAGATCTTTGTTTAGAATTAGGGGATAAAAGAGAATAAGAAAAAGTTATAAAAACCCAATGAATATCACGAGCAAAACAAAACAAATAATTTCAAATTGCTTCATATCACATTCGTAAACAAGATTATTTAGAATATAAAGATCACAACAAACATGCAAATAAAGGAAAATAAAATATACTGTGATAAATTTTAAGATATAAAGAACAACAAAAAATAGAAAAGAATATGGCGACACAAGATTTATCATGCAAAGGTTTTTTTTTCAGAAACCACAATGTTTAAAATTTAGAAAAAAAGAGTGCAATATTCAATTTAATTGAAATCAATACCCAATTTTCCTCCCCTTTTAATTGCAACCACTTCTACACACTTTTCTTATTAGAATTTCTAGTATTGCAATCTTATTAGGTGAGAGACAACTGGTCGAGGCAGCCGAGACATTCCATTCTACTTACACATATTTTCCAACGCTTGTTGTCCCAAGTTATTGTAATTAAAAGCCATTTTCTTGATGAAAAGTTGTTGTTTTACTCTTCCGTGAATTGTTTTAACACATTTTTTGTTTTAAAGTAATTAATTTTTGGAGTTTTTTCTCCGTAAAAATATAAATAACTTTGTCCACTGTCTGTTATAATTTTTCTTCTTTGTCAATTAGCTGTCAATTGTTTTCTCAGAGAGCGAAGATGCCACCTTGCATAGTTTTGATGAATTGTGTTGCCATATGGAAATTGCAATGTGGGGGATGTTGTAGGTGAAAAGAAAATATGTTGGGAAATAATATGTGATATATTTTAAAAAATAGACAATTTTTTTATATATTTTGATTTTTTTTTAAATTTTCTTTGCAGAAGTGGATGATTTTAAAAAAATATTTTACGAAAGTTTTTTTTGTTTTCAATTATTTTCGATTAATAAAAAATGAAAAAGATTCTAGCTTTTTTAATAAAAATATTTAAAAAAATCTCTACAATCGTTATTTTTTAAACACTTTTATAAAAAAAATAATTTTTTTTAGTTTTTTTTTTTATCAAAAATATTTAAAAATCCGCTATTTTATAAAAATATTTTTTAGAACTAGAACTATGGTGGAATTAACATTTTTAACAGAACTCTAGAGGAGTTGATTTTTATGCCTTCAGCCTTATGGCTAATGAGGGTACATACACTTTGCTACCGCAAAAATGTGCCACTTTGAAATATTGGTTTTAGACACCATGTCTCCCTGGACCAAACTTGTTTCAGAAAATTTGGAGTCGATGTACAAGTGCACGTCCGTCTGTCTGGCCGGCTGATGTGCACGATACATATCAAAGGGCGTATACGATTTCATCCAAACTTTGCACATCACAATATTTATTCCAAACTTCGTTAAAGTTCGAAGATTGGGATTATCGGTCCACTCCTTATGGTACCTCCCAAACAAAATGTTGCTGAAAATTAATTTTGTAATAAAATGTCAACGGACCATGTGATTTGAACCAAACCATGTACAACCTATTATCTTCACCAAGCCTAGATTATGTCCAAAGATTGCGTGCGTTAACGCGTTAACAAAAAACGCCCAACGCGAACATTCTGTTTAGCCCTTAAGTGTCAGGCCGCACGTAGTGTCCTAAGGCTGCATGAACAAAATCTTTGTCGAAGTTGTACCTTTGGGCATGGTTGTATCTTGAACGAACCAGGTATGACATTGAACCAACGCGTAAAAATAAGTGACTACATATCACCAGTCCTGAAATATGACGATGTAAATGTCTTTATTCATAGTAGAGACGACTGGAACCGGAGTAACCCTCCTCTGGACGGTCTGGCTTCCTATACAGAAGGATCGAAGATGGAAGAAAGTACAGGGGCTGGCGTCTACTGTGAAAGACTAGGCCTTGAGCTCACCTACAAGCTGGATACCAACTTTAGTGTTTTCCAAGCTGAAATCTTCGTGATTTGAAAGACAGCGGAATTGATAAAAAGTCTGGATGCAGAGATCGTTGAACCTGTGACTATCTTTCAATATTAAAGCCATTAAATCCTGTTACATCAAATCTGAGGCCGTCCTCAAGTGTACAACAGATTTGGAAGAACTTACTTACAGCTATCGGCTGTGTTGGGTACCAGGACACCGTGACATCAGGGGTAATGAAAGAGCAGACGAATTAGCTACACGAGGATCTCAATCTGCAGATCTAGCAATTGATCGCTCAATCAAACCACCCATATGTCATCTTTATCGGAACTTTGAGGAGTTCTTCGACGAAAGAGCCTATGAACTTTGGCGCAACGAGCCTAGGTGCAATGTGTCAAGATCTATTTGACCGACTCTGTCTACCAAAAGGACACAGTTACTGTTGAACCTGAGCAAAGCTGACAGGAATCATTACTGGTCATTGCAATACCAGTAAATGGGACCATTATGATACTGATTACTGTAGACTCTACGTTGACGAGGAGAAGACAGAGACAATTGAGCATCTCCTGTGTCGCTGCCCAATCCTGTGCCTACAGACGTATCAGTTGAGCTGGATTATATCCTATAATACGGATAGAATTTAATCTAGTCTCATATGCCAAATTTGATGTGTCACCTAGTGCCCTAAATATGACTGTCATTTAAAGCTCTGTGACAACAGCTGTTTTTTGGTTAATTGTTTATAACAACGGCAACCCTACTAATGCGATGAATCATTTGACATTTCGAGAAAAAGTTTATTTTCTGTTTAGCCGTCATACCAAGTAGAAAAACAAACAATTATTGTTGAAAAAAACAACTAAAAATTCGATAAAAAATAAAATAATTAACGAAAATGTCTGTTAATACAGCCCACGCCAATAATGGCGTACTAATACATGCGGGAGAATAGTAAGTACAATCACCGAGTACGAGATTATGACGAAATTCAACAAGATTAGATTTGCAATGGACGACAGATTGCAATTTGAGAAAACACAAATTAATTTCCCACTGAACGGAATATATATGACGTCTTATCACAAAATTTAACAGATGTGTGAATTATTTGCTTCCATATACAAACAAACGTATATGATGTTGATGGCTAATGTTGTTTCTTGTCTTCCTTTTCTTTAGTATATTACTCCACAGCGATAATGTTACCATGGAATTTTCTGGTCAAGACAGTTCAGTCTTTAAGGGTACCAAGGCTGGACGCATCTACTTGACTTCGCATCGTATGATTTTCAATAGCAAGAAGTCCGGTGATGAAATGCAATCGTTTAGTGCTCCATTTATTGCCATGAATGATGTAAGTAATGATGATGACGTTTACTATGCAGTTTTACGCCTTATTTGAATAGGTATAAATTTTAATTAGGTACATACATATGACAGAACTAGGTCTTCTAATATAAATTTTTGTATGAGTATCAACTACTTAAATTATAGTGCCGCTCCCACGTCTGTTTATACTCATCAACTTACTGAGGTCCAGGCATTTGTATTAACCATATCGACTACATAGTGTACCATATTGATCTATTTTTTTCATAACTAGCAAAGCGTCAATTATTTAATGATTTGTAAAGATTATTTTTTTTTCAATGAATAGAAAAGTTTATATTATTTAAGAAAATTGTGAAGAATATTATTAAAAAACTGACAATGTTTCTCAAAATCTAGACATTTTGGAGATTTCGTTATATGGTTCCCTCCCAAAAAGTAGACCAATCTTGAATATAATTTCACATTTTTCCAAACTCCAATCGCGAGTTTTTCAACATTCGAATGAGACTTGAAATTAAAAAAAAATAACTAAAATCATAACTCGAAGTTTGCAAACCACATTTTTTAACTCCAATCGTTCCCACGACGATCGGATCTACGCTCAGGAACGACCCGGGCAACGCCCAGCCAAGGATTGTCAACTCAGCGACAGCTGATGGTGTCACCTAAGACGTTGCTCTGGATTGGCTAGTCACAGAGACTGGTCAAATAACTTGGTGGCGAGCTGCTATGCCCCCACAAATTCTCCGCCTGCAGCTGCTCAACTTCCATCCTCCAGCAACGCCAATGCAACACCCATCATATGGTCTTGCTCGGTCTGCAACGAAATTATCAGGAGAAATACTACATCTGTCTGGTGCAATAACTGGTGTCACATGAGACGCTGCACAAACATGCGGTCGCATAGGGAGTGGACAACCCAATTTGTAGGAGATTGTTGTTCCAACTCTAAGCACCTCAACTTCCTGTATGTTAACGACATCATAATATCTGCCATCCAAGAGACAAAACTTATGGGCGAGGTCAGACTTCAATTCTCATGTTAATTATGTCATAATAAGACAATATAGGCAGAGGAGGCATGGAAGAGGACTGGCTTTCATTATAAATCGTAATGTCAGCTACCGCCTCATGACGATTACCTTGAGAATATGGGCATTTCTATTCAAACAGGAGGTAGTGAACTAGAGATCGTCAATGTATACATTCCGCCAGTAAACAGCATCGGGACCCGGCTATCAACCCTCCATTGAACGCCTGTTGGTAGGCGATAGCAGAATGGTCATCATGAAACATGGTTTTCAGAATTAGCTCAAGACCACCGTGAGCTAAGCATTGCAGACCAGATAGACAACTCGTAATACGTTGCAATAAATGAATGCTGCCCCAAGAGAATAGTGGCCAACTGCTCCAGCTCCCCTGCGAACACATGTGACCCTAGCTTCAGATCACATAATTTCAAATATATATTTTCAATATAAATCAAATTTATTTTTTTTAAATCAAAATCATAAAATTAATATCGAACCAAACTGGGATTAAAAAATATTTTTCAAGGACCACAGAGTTTGAATTTTTCAAAAAATATTCAATTAGAATGGGAGCTGGAAAAATAAAGGGATGGATTAAAAAAAATCAACTCGAATTAGGACTTAAAATGAATAAAATGAATAGGTGAATGCATGATTTTTTTTTTTTTTTTTTTTGAAGTAATATTTCTTCTAGTGCCATCAGAGTCCAATGGACCATCAAATAATGAGAGACCGATTTTTCTAAAAAAAAATTAAGGGCCGTCAGAGTAGAAATTTTTTAGTATTTAGATGATTTTTCTCAAAATTATTTTAAGGGCCAGTTCAGTCAGAATCAAAAATTCTTAAAAATTAGTTTTTCATGGACCAACAGTGCTTGAATATTTTTATAGTCCAAATTTCTTAAATACTTTTTAAAGGACTACAGACTCTGAATGGATTTTATGAACTATCAGAGCATGAACTTCTTAAAAAATATTTTTGAAAAAAAAAATTCAGGGTCCATTAGAGTACAAATTTTTTAAAGAATATTTTTTTAAGAAGCATCAGAGATTCGTAAGAATACATTAAAGTATTTTTAATGCTCTCTATGCCAGTATTTTGCCCATTCGATACTAATTTAAATTGTTCGATCCTCTTATCCGACACATTACTAATATTTTTATCTCTTTTCCTTTTAGGTTGAATTGGAACAACCGGTATTCGGTGCCAATTACATCAAGGGCAAAGTACGTGCCCAGCCAAATGGCAACTTCGTTGGTGAAGTTAAATTCAAACTCTACTTCAAATCCGGCGGTGCCATAGAATATGGTATGGCTCTGTTGAGGGCAGCTAAAACCGCTCAAAGCAATTATCATCGTGGTGGTTTGCAAGGTGATGATCCACCACCATATACACCATCCGGAAATTGGCATGAAGCACCACCACCAGCCTATCAGCCACCACCAGGCTACTACGGTTGGTTGCCACAGCACGAGGCGTTTAGTGGACCAGCACCCAATACGGTATATCAAAGTGATAATCCACCACCGTATCCGGGTATTGGAGGACGTAAGTAAAATAAAGAAGATTTTTGTTTTGAAATTTTATATCTTAACTCGGCTTTTGTTTTGTAATTGGCGTGTAAATTGTGTTTTTTTTCTAAATTTGAAAACATTTTTGTTAAATTTTTTTGAATATTATACAGCTCCAGCATATGGTGCTCCGGGTAGTTCGGCTCCTCCATATGGAGGGGCACCGGGTTATGGTGGGGCTCCGGGTTATGGTGGAGCCCCAGGTTATGGCGCACCTGGCTATGGTGCCCCTGGTTATGGTGGCGCTCCGGGTTATGGTGGTAATGCCCCACCTTATAGTGCTCCACCATATGGTGATCCATCATCTCAGCCGAATTTATATCCTTCTGTTCCACCATCACATCCTTACAATCCCAATCAACCACAGCCTTATAATCCAAATCCCCAGGGTAATAATCAAGGTTGGGGTGGTTTTTCGGCACCACAGCAGCCACAGCAACAACAGCATCAAAAACAAAACAATGTCTCAAACAATTCCTCTCAACAACAGCAACAACGTGAGGAGCCACCATCATGGAACGGATTTTCATTGCCACCAGACGATGATGAACCAGCTCAACGTCAACAGAATCAAACACAACAATCTTCAGCACCATCATCACATGCTGCTGGCGGTTATGGAGGTGGGTATCCCCCGGCACCGAATGGTGGAGGAGCTGCTCCTCCTCCATATCCACCTTATCCTAATTATGCACCAAATAGCGGTTATCCACCATATCCACCACAGCCCTATGGTGGTGGTAGTGGTGGATATCCTCCGTATCCTCCGGCAGCTGGAGGTCCTCCAGCGGGGGCAATGGGTTTCACTGCACCAAATTATCGTAAGTTTTGATTTTTGTTGCAATTTTTTTATTTTTTTGTGTTTTTCTTGTTTTTTTACACTTAGACACACACCCTTACACAATTCATTATTTGCTTATTTTATTATAATTAAGCTTCATTTTAGAGATCAATAAACTTTAGGAAGGCATCAGGATCGATTCTATAAAAAATTCCTAACACATTTTATTTGCAATTAAAAACAAAAAGTGAACCTAACGAAGATCTACTCTTTCACTCCCTGTAAAAAAATAACAATTCCCATTTTCCTCTTCGATTTTTCTCACTTAATGCAATATTAACTGGCGCTGACACACCCTTTCTGGGAACAACACAGATTCCATTTGTGCTAAAACCAATTAATATCACTACTCAATAAAAATAATTTCTTTTTAAAATCTTTCTTCTTTCCACCTTTTATATATCCCCTCAATATTTTTTTTTATGTTTTGTTTTCCTCAACAGGTTATTAATTTACTAAAAAAAACAACATTCAACAAACCAACACGATTTCAAATATCCAAGGTAATCTTCAAAGAAAAACAAATTGGAAATAAACAAAATAAATAAATCAAGAAACAAAAGAAAAAAACAAAAGCCGAGCATAGACGTTTTAGGTTCTAAACAATTTTGTTTTATAATTTTCTTTTTATGAATTCCATATTCAAATTTTTCCAGGCAATACTGTCTACTACTATCAATATCAATATTATCCATATTATTATCCTCAACCACCCACACACTCAACGGGATTTCTGTTTGTACCAATTCTTCTACCATTTGCTTTATAAACGATTTTCGATTTTCGTATTTTCTTCAAAGAGTGTAGTGAAATCCACAATAATTTTTTTCTCTTCCAACATCCTGGAATTATTTTTAACAACTTAAGAATTTATTGCAACCAAACTACGCATGCAAATTTTATTAACTATATGTATTGAATCTCTTCCCATCATCGAATGTAAGCTATATATTTGTTTTGTCTTTAATATATTTTATATTAAATATTTTATTAAAAATTTTTAATTTAATTTGTTATTTTTTATACTATTCAGATTCAAAGGAAGCTGAAGCCTTAGCCAGTGCTTATAATACAACTGAAAATCAACGACCAAGTGGTTCACGCGGAGATGCTCCACCACCAGCTTATGATGTAAGTAGAAATATATTTGGAATAAAAAGTATTTCTACATTTCTATATTTTCTACGTTCTATATTTTAATAACATATATATTAATTTTCAGGATTTGCCACCAACCTACGATGATTCTAATCGCAAAAAGTATCAGTAATTTCACTCTACTAATCACAATTTTTCCAAATTTTTAAATGGATTATGGACATTCCTCCCAAAGAAATATAAGCATTGTTCCGGGCTTTAAAACAATTTATTATATTATTTAAAATGGTATTTTATTTAACCAATGTAACATTGTTATTATATATTTTTTCGCACTTCCCTTATTAAATGTGTGTTTCTCTCCTCCCAGCTCTATATATTTTATATTTATATATAAACATAATCATATATCTGCATCTTTGAATAAAAATTCTTAATTATGTATGTTGTTTAGAACTATTAAAATATTTTGAAATGTGTGTCATTTATTGTTAACATATACAATATTGTTTGTGGAATTTATAACAAAAACACTTCTTACGGAGAAGAAGTGTTAACACATTGGATATATAAAATAGTATTAATTGAAAATAAAGGAGAAAAAGCTTAAATTAAATTATGATGTTGTCAATTTTATTATGAGTATTTTTATATTGTTTGTTCAGAAGAATGCGGAAGAAATTTCATCCTATACTTAAGTACTTATGGAAAATATATAATGCTTGTCATTTAAACATTTACAAGGTACTTTGTAGAGATACAAAACTAATTAATAAAATAAGAATGATTAACTTCGTCTGGGAGGAATATGCATTCGTTGTACATCGATCAGTTACGAATGACTATCGCTGTTTAACCTGTTGGTATTCGTTAATGATCGCTACTCATTACACTTGATGGCTTTGACTTCCTCGTAATGGGATTGAAGAACTGTATGCCGGTTTGTACAACTTCTTAAAGATACATTTTCTTCAGCTGATTTAAAATAAGCAACGAATGACTATCACAATTCACCCATTGGGATCTCATATATTATCAGGGAACTTCTGTTTGGTAGGTAAGTCATTCTGCTTTGGTTCGATTCTGCAAAGTTCTGCATGTTATGGGAGTTGTCGTTCATACAGTTGTTGTTGCTGTGTATTTTCTATGTAATCTTTTATCTGGTTCTGCTACTAATGCCAAGTTCAAACAGGCTGCGACCTGTATCGGTTGTGTCCAAAGTAAAGATGGGGTTAGATTTGCGGACGAATACCAAATGCCGGGCAGATATAGTTTACCGTTGCATCAATTCGTGCCCAATATGAATTGAGGCGGCTACACCATGCCAAGCTATGGCATTCGCGGATACTTTAGAGGCTATCGAATGTGATGTTATAGCAGCCATACAATATAGTATATGTAGTAGTAGTGGCCCTTTTGTTGCTCTTCAGAGTATTTTCATCCTTTCAATTCTCCAGGCTTCAAAAGAAGTCCTTGAGATGTCGTGGAGGACGTTATTGGGGGGTTATAAAGGGCGCCGATGACAACGAAATAATGGGTCGAACATTGCGAGCGGTAACAGGTATCAACGCGCAAGACGTCCCGCAGACTTCAGACAAGGATAGTGTTGACCAACAGATGCTACTATGGTCTGAGTAAGCAATTTAGGAACAAGGCCACCTCTCGCCAGACCAAACTCACTCAGAGTCTAAAAGACGCTGATACCAGCCGTGTCGTTATATGGAATAAAAGCATGGGTACTGCACAAGCAGATGAGGCAGCTCTTGAATTTTTTGAGAGAAAATTTTTCCGAAAAATCTATGAGCCGATCTGCGCCGACGTTGAATATTGCCGTCGAACGTACCACGAGTTGTACCATCTATACTCGGACACCGCAATAGTCAGACGTATCGAGCTGCAGTTTCGCTGGTAACGTAAGAACTTCGATTTGTCACAAGAGACATTTGGGTTTGAAAGGTTTTTTGTAAAGAAGCTATTAATAGCTTCTGGGGAGAATATCCCAACAAAAAACTAAGGGAACTGATGAGGATCAGTGTCGAGATCCGAAACTATAGTCTTCCCTGCCTTATCGGTGGACAATGCCATACATTCCCCACTAATAAATAGTTGTTTTTTATAAAAACAACAAACTGGGATTAAGCCTGACTATTTTGCAAAAACAAAATACAAATGGTATCCCAAATAACCCGCCAACACTACTGAAGTTGTAGACGAGGCACGGTCATACTGTTTGGTTTATTGCTTTAACTAGCAATACCAACAACAACGTTATGTGCATTCGTCACAAAGTGACGACACATAGCAGTGGGAAATGTATTGTAATTGTCTGTAAATGCCTTGTTGACCACGAAGTTAGGCGCCAACGAAACGAACTTCTCATTGGGGTCGTATCGCTGGTAACGTAAGAACTTCGATTTGTCACAAGAGACATTTGGGTTTGAAAGGTTTTTTGTAAAGAATCTATTAATAGCTTCTGGGGAGAATATCCCAACAAAAAACTAAGGGAACTGATGAGGATCAGTGGCGAGATCCGAAACTATAGTCTTCCCTGCCTTACCCCTCGGCGGACAATGCCATACATGCCCCACTAATAAATAGTTGTTTTTTATAAAAACAACAAACTGGGATTAAGCCTGACTATTTTGCAAAAACAAGATCATGTGGAAGATAACATTTCGAAACATGGTCTTTCAAATTGGAACAAATTTTCTTTCTGGAGCCAGCTAGGTTAGTATTCCATGGCGGTCATTACTTTTGGAATTCCTTTTTAATCGAAAGGTCCAAACAATCACCAGGATCTCTGGTATGGACGATTAAAAAAAAAACCTTTCACTTGTCCTAGGTGTTGGCTCGAGGTCCGGTAGGCTTCGCGCTTATAAGTTGGATAAGGACAAATGGCTTTGTTATTTTCACATTTTTATACCCTTGTCAGGGTATTATAGCTTTGTTCACCCCCAAAAGTTTGTAACGCGGCGAAATATTGGTCCTAAATATTTACAGGAGGACGAAAATACAGCGCTGATCGCATTGAAATTTTCCATGAGGATCCAGATATGGTATAATTTTCGATAATGATCAGATAATAATATTGGGATAAAGTGGACCGAAAACTTAATTTTTTGTGTTTCTTTTTTTTTGAGTCGATCACAACACAAACCACGGTGATGGGAATCTGGACAAGTAATTAGAAGGGCTGTTCTGAATATTGGTAGTATTTGTTGACCTCTAGACTGCCTGAAGGGTGCAAATATCGCTAAATATTGCCCAAGCTCAGGATGTAGACACAGAAAGTTATATTTTCGTGGAATTTGTGTAGAGTATCATATGGTCGTCCCCGTCCGACTTTACTGCTTCGCTCACAGGTTTTTATTGAGTCGCTAGGCAGCTTCTAAGCAATCTTCTTCTATAAGGATTGCGATGTCATATTTGCTATCACATTTTTTCCATATGTGTAGAGGTTTCCGTTATAATTTGGAAGATTCAGCTCTACTAAGCAGGCGACTTGGGTAATTTTACAAAAAAAAAAAAAAAAAATCCTAGATAAACTCTCTGAAAGGTTAAACCAAATACTTTGACGTTTTCGCAGGAAGTTCGCCCTTTAAGTTGATATGGGACATATGTAGTCATATTTTCTACCAACATTTTTTTCTACCGAGTCGCTGGAATAATGATATTTTATCGCGTTTACATAGAAATTTTTATGAGTCAGGAATTTGAATCCACATTAGAATTCACCTTACTAACCGTACTGACAGTTCTCGTTGCTTTGGGGAGGTCCCGATAGAATTCGACCCTGTTCATAATGTAGGAGTCCTGCTAATCAGAATTTACATAAATATGCATAGGGCTATTCTTAATTTTCGTTGCCAAAAGCTGGATTTCATTGTCAGAGATATTTTGATTGGTACCTTATCAGAATATCGGGTTGAATAGTTAATTGCTCTTCTTGCCTATTATCAGAATATTTTCACAAAAAACAATTCTTTCCCAAAATCTGGTCTAGGCCACTTCACCGTTTTCTAAAAAATTGTCTTATTGTAATGATCTTCTCCCCCTTATATAGAAAATGGAAAAACCTTCTTCATATCTAGAATACCAATATATGATATTCTGAAAACCCATTATCCCAAGAATAAAATCACATTTATATAAAGAAACTTAAATTGTTTAATATATAAATCAAAGAAAAGAAACAGAAAAAATAATAAATAAATAATGAAAAAAATATATATTTAAATAAATAAAGTTGTGCATACGAACAAAATAAATATTAGCAACGTAAATACACAGATAGGAAAAATAATATATAATCAAACGATAAATTTAAATAAATATATTAGAACAAGAAAACTAATAAATGGAACTAATGTCCAACAAATATGGAACAAGTAGCATTTTTGTTGTTATGGGCAAAATCAAATAAATAACAGAAACCAAATCACAAAGTTTACCAAACTTTTCCTTTAAAGAAAAGTTAAAGAAACTTCAATACACCAAAAAAAAAATGGAAAGGAGAAAAAAACAGAACAGCTCAACGTAAATTTGGACGACGATTTGTACGACTTTTTTCCAAAAGGGGAATTTGTGAATACGATTGATGTTGTGATTGATCCAACGTTGTGTCCATCGATCGATTTGGATCATCACATTTGGTGCAGGCGCCAAAAAGACGCATCATACGCGTACCCAAACTACGACGATTATGTGTGGATTTACGACCCGCAGCTAGAACACTATCCGTCCCGCTACTGGTATTGACAATCATTGTTGTGGTAAGGCCAGCCGGAGAGCAAGTGGTTTCAGCTTCAGCTAAATTATGACCACCACGGGCGGAGGTGTTGCGTTGCGAACGATTTTCAAAATAAATAAATTCTTCACGGCGACTTTGTCTTTGTTTGCGCGGCGATGATTCAATGACTTCAATATCAATACCAGCCTCCGAGTTGGGTATAAAACTTTTATTGGCGGAGCCCATATTTTTGGAGGAATTTAAAGCCATCGCTAGGGGTGTGGATTTCTGGCGATTTGCCATGGAGTTGGACCGTTGACGTAGGAAACCTGGAAAAGAAGAAGAGATGAAAGAAAATTAGTTAGTAGATAAAGATATTGGGTCTTTGAAAAAAATATTCTTTAAAAATCCACGCCTTGTGTTGGCTACTTGAAAAATTATAATATAAAAAATTCTCCTGTTTGGTAGACCCTGAAAAAATATTCTTTAAAAATCCACGCCTTGTGTTGGCTACTTGAAAAATTATAATATAAAAAATTCTCGTGTTTGGTAGACCCTGAAAAAATATTCTTTAAAAAATCCACGCCTTTGGTAGACCCTGAAAAAAAAATCCTTAAAAAATCCACGCCTTTGGTAGACCCTGAAAAAATATTCTTTAAAAAATCCAAGCCTTTGGTAGACCCTGAAAAAATATTCTTTAAAAAATCCACGCTTTTGGTAGACCCTGAAAAAATATTCTTTAAAAAATCCACGCCTTTGGTAGACCCTGAAAAATATTCTTTAAAAAATCCACGCCTTTGGTAGACCCTGAAAAAATATTCTTTAAAAAATCCACGCCTTTGGTAGACCCTGAAAAAATATTCTTTAAAAAATCCACGCTTTGGTAGACCCTGAAAAAATATTCGTTAAAAAATCCACGCCTTTGGTAGAGCCTGAAAATATATTCTTTAAAAATCCACGCCTTTGGTAGACCCTGAAAAAATATTTTTTAAAAAATCCACGCCTTTGGTAGACCCTGAAAAAATATTCTTTAAAAAATCCACGCCTTTGGTAGACCCTGAAAAAATAGTCTTTAAAAAATCCACGCCTTTGGTAGACCCTGAAAAAATATTCTTTAAAAATCCACGCCTTTAGTAGACCCTGAAGAAAATATTCTTTAAAAAATCCACGCCTGTGGTGGACCATGAAAAAATATTCTTTAACAAATCCACGCCTTTGGTAGACTCTGAAAAATATTCTTTAAAAAATCCACGCCTTTGGTAGACCCTGAAAAAATATTCTTTAAAAAATCCACGCCTTTTAGCTGTGATATGGTTTTTCAAAAATATTCTTTAAAAAATCCACGCCTTTTAGGTCTTGGAAAAATTGAAAAAAATTGAAGATAGACCTGGCTACTTACCCATGGTATTATTAATACTACAATCCCGACTATTATCCTGCTCCAGAAGATTACTAAAATTCAACGATAGCGGTTGTATGGTGGCAATATTTTTGGGAACCTTCAAGTGGGCAGGGGCCATCACCCCAATTGCATTGTGATCACATGAATTGTTATTGGAATCCGGTGTGAGAGGGGTATCAAACATTTCTGTGCGATTGGCCAACATTAAAGGTGGCACGGGCGAAGGCGTCAGCAAATTTTCCGTTTGCGTTGCCTTATCATGAAATTCCTGCTGCTGTGACAACAAACACTGCAATGAGTTACGGCTAACATTGGTTATGGAATTTAAACCATATGGTCCTCCCAAACCCCCAGTACCACCACCACCCAATGACATTCTTTGCGTTTGATTCAATTGTTTCAGTTTATCCTTACACATCGTATACTCAATACGCATCGTATCCAAATTTTGTTTTAAGCGCCATATTTCGGCTTTCTTTTCATCCATCATTGATTGGAGATATTCACCACGCTCCCGATCACTTAACAGCTGTTCATAGGTTTGTTTATCCAAATAGATGCCAGCATCTTGTATTATATCACGACTCGATGAAGTGGAGGTGGTTGTCGTTCCGGTAATATTATCGAAATTTTCTGTATCATGATCACTGATGGCGGATTCATGATCACGTATATCATCCAAATCATTGGTACTGTGTCGGAGAATACCACGTTTTTGTGGCACATTGCGTATACCATCTGCGGCCGATTCAACAGATTTTGGACCACTTAATGTCTCCGGCATGGAACGATGCCGTTGAAACTTACCCGAACGTCGTTTTTCATCTTGGGCCTTAATATTGGCGATGTATTGACCCACCTTGCTCTCAACATGTTTATAACGACGTTTGGTATATTCCGAGTGTATATCCTGATACGAGACCGATTTACTTTGGGGATTGCGTATAAATTCGGTTTTCTTTGGTTCCGAGGCTAGAGGAGAAAAAAAAACAACCCACAAATTCAATAAAGAAAACCATCTTCACACTGCCCTCACACCTACCTTGTGTCTCACTGGCATTGGTTTTACCACTTGTCTCCGATTCTGGGGGACCATCATTGGATGATTGCGTCGAATCATTATTTCGTGTGTTGTGGCCAGGTGATGACACTGTCGATATTTCCGCATTGCCCTCCTCTCCCATCTCATCGTCATCATCATCTTCTTCTAAATCACGACTATTTACCTTAATAAGACGTGGCTTATGATGTGGAAATATCATAGGCTGTCCCGATGTTCGTGACATCTCCAAATCATCATCATAGGGAAAACTTTCATCTTGTATACTCATTGCCAAGCTATTGCGGATTCCGTTTTGCTTGCAGCCGTTTTACATTAAAAATACTGTAGAATTTTCTTAAGAGAAAATAAGTTTTTAACAACAACATACAAATCAAAATTTTTTAGCATTTGCCAATGGAGTATTCTTAACTGTGTCCCCTCCTGTTTTCTTATTGGAAATACTTTTCGTTTAATAATTTTCGTAAATACCGTTATAATTAGTACAAGAGAATGATGTGTGAAATGGTAACGCTGTGATGAATGATGCAGAGTTGCATTGCATGTAATTAGTGTGCAATGTGAACCGGCTTTTAAGCATGGCGAAGACAAACACAATGCGGACGTAATGCGTTTGGCGTAAACATTATTCACATTGTTTGGGATAAAAACCAGTAGTCAAAGTTGAGAGGAACTGACTATATTCAACTCTACTCAACACTGCGGATATGCAGGACGTGTAACAGGACGTCTTCGGGCTAAAGAAGACCTAGAGGTAGTCTTCTGACTATAGAAGGCTTGCTAGAGGAGAACATAGTGAGGGCCTACATATGTCTAAAGAAGGCGCAAAGTGATCTTCTGGCTATTGAAGATCTACAGGAGGTTCACTGGCTATAGTAGACTTTCAGACAATCTTCTTTTTTGCATAGAAAGAAGACCTATAGGAATTTTGGGAATTAAAGACATATATGTCTTCTAGCAATACAATACATACTGTATAGAATTGGATAACTTCGTTTCTGAGCCGGTTCGATATTTTTCTGTTCGCTTCGCAAAAGGAACTAGTTCTTTCATTATGTTCCGTAATTTCTTTTTAGTTCAATCGTGCGTAGGTAGATCAACGGGTGGATTGGGTTAGGTGAACTAAAGAACTAGTACTGACCGTTCCTAGTGCGGAATAGTTGCTTTGAACTTATTTCGACATAATCACCTTCTTCGATAAGGGGAGCCCATTTAAAATGTCTGCTTTTTTATGGGCCAGACACCCGGTTTTAATGCAACTCCGGACCAAGCCGAAACTCTATCCACGATTTGGATATAAAACAACTTCAGCACGATGCTCCTCGAACGACCAACACCAAGTGTCAAGCTAGATCCGGGCCCCTAGGCCTTTGACACCCGTTACAGCTACCGAAACTTTCGGCCAGGTTTATAACCGATTCTATTACCAGTAGAACTTCAAACAGTTTGAGACTGGTCACCCTCAGACTATTGTTCTACAAGCCAGGTAGTTCGATAATGGCCTCTGTACGCATTCGTAAAAGTTGTTTCGGTCACGCTTCGGTAGCCAATACTACTAGCATTTGAACAGATAGCTGAAGTCTCTCTAAAATGTAATAACCATTTAAAGAGGATGAAGAACATATGCAAAGCGAACACCTCTCGATGCCACTCTCCCATCCCCACTCAAGCTGCAGGCTCTCTAAAATGTAAAAACCATTTAAAGAGGATGAAGAACAGATGCAAAGCGAACACCTCTCGATGCCACTCTCCCATCCCCACTCAACGATTATTCCATAAGACTACAAAGTTCGGAAATGGTAACCCTGCTATTTTCGGTCTATGATCCGGGATTAGTAAACCAAAAGGCACAAACAAAACCCGAATGGCATCACGAGCATTCCATACTCATCAGTCCACACAGGACAGTGGCAGTAACCACTCTGGTCAAATACTCAGGACAGTGGCTAGACACCTTCACAAGCATCCTGCTCGACTGTCGGTGTTTTCAGGGCAGAGTTCCGCAATGCCTAAGTACTTCTCAACTGCGTAGCACTAGTATTCGCAATGTTGGCCGAAGTCCGACCTTTGGCTTTATAAGATGTTAACAAGGTATCCTTGTGCTGCATTTTCATCTCCGTAGTCCATGTGGTAAACAATGTGCCCGAAGATTTCGTGCCGAATATTTTCATTCTTTGCAACGACCTGCTGTGGTTTAGTCCTCGATTTATATGGGTTGAGACGATGTTGTTTCTTACGAAATGCATGTTGGTGATCCGAAAGTGGAACGTTAGGGAGGAGTAATGCCTCAAGAGTCTTCACTAATGGTGACAAAATTTTGATAAGCAGTTCCAGCATATTTCATCCGGACCCAACACTTTAAACAATTTAGTGCTCCGGATGACACTTGAAACTTTTCGGCGGGAAGAAATCTCATCTGGGAATATTCGAAAAAATATTTGTTAAAATAACCAGCATCTCTTCGGATCAGTCATCTATTATCATTATTCTTTCCAGGGTTCGAGATCGACTTGATCGTAGTCCAAAGTTTATTCACAATGATTCTAATTTTGCGACTTCAGATGTTTTAACTATTTATTTCTCTTATTCTCCACGACTACTCTGCTGATCTCAACGTGAGTTTTCCTGTCTGTGGAAACGATGTGGGTGGCTATCGAGAAGTTAAGGACTTTATTCAGATACTCAACTCCCAACTCATCCAGCTGTTGCAGCATGTCCCTTGCAACATCACCCTTTCTAACACTTGTTGTTTTGTTGCGGTACACTCCATCGTCGTTACCATGTACCACTTTCCTATAAATGGGAGTAGATTTTTTTTTTAATGTTAAACACGAATAGACTGAGGAAATAGCTTCTACAAAAAACTTTAAAAATTATTTTTTATTGCGAAAAATGTCCTCTAATTTTCCTAAACCATTTTTCTGCTGCTAGCAATGCTGTAGTATAGCCGTTTCTCTTTAGCAAAGACACACGACACAGGGTGACTCTTATAGAAGCTTTTATTCAGACTTTATCCACACACCCCTTTCTATCATACATGAAAACGTATGAGTGCTTGTGTGTGTGTGTTACAATTACGCCATTTGAATGTCATCATCCCCAAAACAACAATACGACACAAATCTCACTTACCGTTTTGACAGATGATGATGATAATAATAATAAACCACCTTAAAAATGAGCAACAGAGAGGAATTGAGAGAGCGAAAGAGCAGAGAACTACAATTAAATAAATAAACAGAGAGTGATGACACAGAGTGGACGACGACAGCAGCGACAAAATTCTTCTAGCCAAATATGAAGGGAAAATCAATTTCTGGTTTCAGTAGAAAAACATGCGCAAATATAATCGAACCTAACTAAGAATAAGAAGAATAAAAAATATACACGAATTCACGGCGGTACTAAAGAATACAAGAAAATTTATATATTTTTTAATAAAAAAGTAATTTTTATTATAAAATAAATTGTAAAATTGAATATTGTGTAAAAGTGGTTGAAAACTATAAGCCGTTAGAGAATTAAAATTTTGATTTTTTTCGAAGAAAACAAGTGTTTGTGTTCTTGATGACGGCAATGAAAAAATATTAGTCTCCTCCTTTGCCAAAAAATATCAATATTTTGTGAATAGAGAAACGCCTTTTGGAATGTGTCTGTGTGTGTGCGTAAAAAAGTGTTAATGCATAACCGTAAAAAGGATATGTGAAATAAAATGTAAAGGATTTCAATGCAATATTTTTTGTGAAAAGAATATCTATGTTAAAAAATTTGAAAAATTAAATTATTTTGTAAACAAAAAGTCTTAACAATATTAAAAACAAGAAAATCTCGCCACCATTTGTTGTCTATTTTTTTTCTGCGAGAAGAAAAGTGACACTCAATTTCTTTGGTTATTCGGTAATAATTATGCTCTCATCCTCCGCTCTTGTGTGGTTTAGGTTATGTCTATAAACTGGTGGTTTACCAGCATAAAGCTTGCCAGATTTTTAATGTGATGAAAAGGGAGGAAAAATAATCGGAAAAATTCCCTGTTTATATGTTTCTAATAAACCACGTTTACAATTAATTTATTTGGTTCTACTAATAAGAATAATAATGAAGTCTAGAAGAAGACTTGTTGATTCTAAACATGGAAAACATCTATAAGTTCGGCAGAACTCTGGTTTCTGGAAAAAAATTACAACCACTTCGATTTGAGATTCGGATAAAAACGCACCATAAACGGTGCTGGACTTATATGGGGACCATAACTTAGAGTTGGACAATCTCGTTCCTGAAGCGGTTCGCTCCACAAAAGCAACTAGGACATTCATCTAGTTCCATAGTTTATTTTTAGCTCAATCGTTCATCGGTACAGGTCACTAAATTCGGTCAATGAACGAGAAGGTCTAAGTGAACCGTACTTTGTACCAATTTTCCTTTTGCGGAATTGCCCCCTTGAACTAACTAACTTAAGTATAAATTGTATGCTGACTTCTGAGACCTTCTTATGAACTCTTGACGGCCACGTTGGAAACAGGATTGATAGACATTAGAGACCTTGACAAATACTCTAATCATATGATATCACACAAGCAATGATTTGGAAGGTTTCCACGGAAATATTACGTAAATACATGGCAGCAAGGGATGAGAATGTAGGGATGTTCTTCATGAAAAAATCCTAAATTAATACAAAAGCAAAGATACTAGAGTAGGGCAATTTAGTTCACGGAGCGGACCGACCCTTTACATTCTTTATTTTTTAATGGAACTAGTCCCTGAAGTTCCAACTCTTAGTTCCTTTGAATCTCTCTCTTTCATCGTTCTGTTTGAGTTTTTTTTTTTCGTTCAAATAGTTCCGTTTTGATTCGTTGATTTAAATTTAGTAGATTATTCAGAAGCTATAGAATTCAACTGCAGGACGATTTTCATAAATAATTGACGAGCGTATTTTAAACAACGTGACAGCATCTAAAAACAAAGAGATCGAATGAAGAATAAAAAAGGATCTCTAAAAGGAACGAGATCAGAAAAAGGAACTGTAGGAACTATAGAACTTGGACTAGTTCATATCGTTCCTTTATCGGCATAGTTCCAATGAACTAGTTCGTTTCGGAACTACCCAAATCTACTATATTCCGAGCCTGGGTAATATTTCGCAATATTTGCATTTTCCTGGCCAATTAGATGTCAACAGCTCCTCTGTGGCATGACAGTCATTCGAATTAGTTGGTCGATGGCCTTCCCCATTGTGATATTCGGCTTATATTTCTGGCGTCTAGAGCCACTAGAAAAGAGACAAAAAAACTTATTCGGTCTATTTCAACCGCGAAATATCATCTGATCATTATCGTTGTCATCCCTGACCATAACCTGAACCTCAAGCAAAATTTTTTAACCATCCGTGCTACGTTTCCGCCCTCTAATACTATAATCAATATAATATTACATAGAGCCCGGTAAAGTTTAAGTATACCTCTCGCATCCGGGCACGTATATAAATATAATCGATATCAATTTAAAGGTCAGTCACCACTTTTGGGTATAGTAACAACTTTTTGGGTCTATATCCTTCAGGCTTAAATACATACGCCATAGAATGCAAATTTCGCAATTTTTCACACAAAAGTCTTGGTTCATTTGACCAGCTAAATATTGACCGATCTTCAGCCATGCATATTCTTTGCCCTGATCCCTTTTCCCGTGTAAAATTTTTTGATGTTGGAGTCATATTTGCGGTCTCTGGAGCTACCTGAAAAGCAGATAAAAATAAAGTTTTTGGTCCATTTCATCCCTCAATATTAACCGATAGGGGCCTTCTTTGGTTCGAACCGGTCTACAACCTACAATTTCGTGACAATTGCTCCATTGTTGTGGCCTAGAGTGAAAATCTGGTCTATGTCTGATTTGCCATGTCTAAAGCCACATTGGTATGGTCCAATAATATCATTTACCATTGGCTTCAGTCATTCACACAGCACGCTGGATAACACTTTATATGCGATGCGAAGGGGACTAATTCCTCTATAGTTGGCCCATATTATCTTGTTTCCTTTTTTGTGCACGGGACACATGATGCTGAGGTTCCAATCATTGGGCATGCATTCCTATAGCCAAATTGTACTAACCAGCATCTGACCACCAGCCTTGAATAGTTAGGCTGGTAATCCATCGGCACCTGTTGCTTTATTATTCTTCAGCCGATTAATTGCTATTCTGGCCTCATTTTGGCTAGGTGGTATACACTCTATACCGTCATCTCTTATTGGTTCAGGGTTATCTTCTTCACCGTTACTATTTGATATCAGAAGCTTTACAAAATGCTACTTCCAGATCCTTAGCACGCAGTATTTATCTGTTTCCTTCCAGGTTTCCTTCTTCATCTCTACATGAGGATGTGCCTGCACCAAAGCATTCGGTTTGTGTTTTACTCGTTGATAAAATTTCCGGACTTCATTCTGTACATTTCGATTTGCTCACGCTCACTTTTTTTTGTTATTTTTTCTGAAAATATGTTTCTCTTCTTCCGATAATTCGCCCTCGCATTACGTGTTGCTACTGTCTGCAGGGTTGCCCTATACGCTGCGTTTTTCACCTCAGCAGCATTACGACACTCCTGATCGTACTATGGGTTTCTTGATGGTGGTTTTTGGTACCCATGTGTTGTTTTTGCTGCAGTTTGTAAGGAGTGGACAATTCTTTATCATTGTGCTTCTGGCAGGTGGGTAAGTAGAGCGGAGTTGAGTTTTCGTGTTACATTAGATCGCACTTTTGCTGCAACATTAAGACGAGTGCGAACCTTGGTTGCTACAAGGTAGTGGTCCGAATCGATATTCGCTCCGCGGATCGATCGAACGTCTAAAGTACTGGATGAATGCCTTCCGTCTATCACAACATGATCAATTTGATTTCTCGTTGTTCGTTCGGGAGAAATCCAGGTGGCCTTGTGCATAGCGAAATGCTTGTATCTGGCGCTGCTATCTACCATGTTTTTTGCTGCCGCGAAGTCAATCAACCTCAAGGCGTTGTCGCATGTTTCTTCTAGGAGGCACTTCTGATTTTTGCATTAAAATTTGCTAGCAGAATTTTAATGTCATGGCCAGTGCAACGGTCATATGCTGTTCCTAGGCGTTCGTAAAATATGTCTTTAGTCTGTTCATCTTTGTCTGCGGTCGGAGCATTGGCGCAAATGAGACTGATTTAGAAGAATTTCGCTTTAATACGGATTATAGCAATTCGCTCATCTACTGGGGTGAATGTGGAGTCGAGGTATTTTATTCTCATGTTAACCATAAATCAGCAGCCAAATTCTCCTTTCATGGCAGCTATAATACAGCGCGTAATCGCCTGATGTACTTACGCCTGTCCCTCTTCATCGCATTTTCTCTAAGACAATAGAATCGGCCAAAGCGAAAACTGTTCTGTAAAACGTGCAAGTGCAGATCGTGGTCCTTTGTGCATTTGCGGGGGTCGTCAACATAAGAGGGGTTTGTTTTTTCGTAGCTTTTTCATAGAAAGTGGTGTTTTCCGAGTGTGGGAAACTAACCGACGCCTCAACCCATTTTTTATAGTTCTTATGGGTGAACTCGCTGCACATATGAGCTCTCTATTTCAACGGGTGTTGAAAGTATATACCCCAAGTGACACGGCGGGGAGGTCAGTGTCCACAATTGAGATGAAAGAAGGACCATGATAAGCCTAGGTTTTGACATGATAGAGCCAATCAGAACCGTTCCTTGGTATATAACATCTCCTACGTCACCCTGGTGAGGAATATTTAAATTACTGTGACGGCTATTGTGATTTCAACCGGCTGTCATTGTTAAATCGGTTATAAATTGCAATCTGGTTAGAATTCTATATAAAGTTCCCAGGTCATATTTCTTTGCGAAATGCCAACATTTATGGAACTAGATTTTAAACATAATTTTTTGATAATTCTCTATTTAAATTTATGTCAAAATACATCAACAAATTTAAATTCCCCATATTCAAACAACAATCCCCATAGGTGGCAAGTCTAATGCCAAAAAAAGCATCTCTCTCTCTCTCTCTGATATGTATCATTTGTTTTTGTTTGCTCACCTCTCACTGGTGTTATTGTTGATGATGTTTTTTTTTTTTTGTTTGTGTGTCATGGAAAAGAGGGGATGAGAGCATGACCATTTGTCATTTGCAGCGCCTTAATGTCTGAAACAGGCGATTGTTTAGCATTGACTTTGTAAAAAAAATAAGAAAAGAAAATAAAACAACAAAGTGAAAACAAACAAAAGCACGAAAAAAGAATTAAACAAAAGCAAAGGAAGAGACAAAAGAGAGAAAAAATAAATAACTGTAATAAAAAATACCCTTTGACAATAATCAAACCTAACTGTAATTGTTTACTCGGGAAATAACTCGCTCGTGTGCTCGCTCTCTCTCTCTTTCGGTGACATACGGTTTCTCTCTCAAATTTGATGTTTACTCCTTATTTTTCCTCATTTGGAATATTTGTGATTGTTGCGGCGGACGGTACTTCCTCCTAAGCAACGGATTTGTAAACGACAATAGTGAAATTGTGTGTCTCTGACACTGCGTGTGTGTGTGTTAATGTACGTGCCTGCGTATACTTAATATAATGCGTAATAGTAGTAGTGGCGGTAGTGTTATTGTTGTTGCTTCTGCTATTCTTCTTCTGCTTCATATTGCTGTGCATAATATCCGGTTTTAAGTACTGCTGCACGTAGCCATCATCATTTTGTGAAGTGTATATTTTTCTGTGTGTGTAATCTCTCGTTGTGACTGAGGGTGTGTGTGTGTCTGTGTGTGTGCTAGCACAAATAACAAATTCGTTGGGCAGGTCCTACGCACACACAGAAAAACATTAAAGAAGGAAACAACAAACACACACGCTAACAAATAATCATTTTTTGGGAAATTGCGAAAAACGAAACGCCGAAGAACTGGAACTCCACTCAATAAATAATACGGAGGAAAATCGCAACATGGAATCGGCCCAGTCGACCACCTATGAACCGTTGGAGGGCCGTAGTTCCGGTATTCGCCATGAACCCATGGATAGTCCAGAGAATGATATACGTGCACCGAAGGATCAAAAACATATGGTCTATTTGGCCATGCTGGCGGCCGGTATTGGATTTGTGCTGCCCTACAATAGGTGAGTAATAATTTGCGGAAAACGAAAAAAACCAATCTACCTTTTTTTCCGCATACCCTGTCTGAAAAGCAACTAAGGGTGAGAGTGTGTGTGTTTATGTTTGAAAAAGTTTGCGACAGAGTTCATGGTTCTTTCTTTTTTTAAATTGATATGCAAATCATTTTTGTTTTTTGGTCTAGGTTTGGAATAGGTCAGTGCTATTGTTGTTGTTGATACACGTAGCTACATACTTACGTAGGGTCAGCTTACAATTTAAGTGCACGTAGACTAAGCTAATGTGTGTATAGGGGGTCTATTATCAAATTTACTATATTTTAATATTTATATATTTTTTTACAGGGGGTGTGTGTGTGTTTTCATTTTTTGATATATGTATTTGCGTGTCAATGCATATTTAGTCTGGTGGTCAAAATTTGTTTCGTTTATTTTTCGGAGGGGACGAAATATGTTCATGAACTTTTTGGGATGACAATGCAGAATGCCCGTTTAGTTGTAATTATAATTTATTATAGCAGTGTTATTTAATTATATTATAGCACGAAATTATCACAGAGGGGTTGAATTCTGGCCTATGCGCCAGAAGCGAGAAAACATCTAAGATGGAAAGGGATCTGATATATGGAGGCTTTGTAAAAAAAAAATTACGTATATTAAAAATATTCAACGATAATGACTATCCCATCGCAGATATTGGATTCTGGCCTATGTGAGGTTTGTTCAAGAAGTAAAGCGAAGCTTCGTTTCCAACCCTTCAGAAATAGCCTCCAGTTATAATTTTTCTGTAATATCGGATTCTATTCATAAAATAGATAAATAAATGGCGCCCAACGTAAATAATTTATACGAATTTAGAGTTATTATTTAAAGGGTTTCTCCCACGCGAATATAGGTAACTAGGGATACTTATTTGAGAAAGTCTCTGGCGATAGCTTCATTTTTGGATTATTGTGTTTTAAGTTTCCTAATCAAAGCCACAAGATAATAATTTACCAGTTATTACGGATTGAAAAAAAAGGTCTTCATAACAAAAATAGAAAACGAACAGAATTCCAGATCATTTTAAGATAAATAAGGAATACGATAGAAAAATTAGAGCTCAGAAAAGTGAGTTTAAAATCAGCAAGATATCTTAATAAGTACTCTTACAATATAATGGAAGAATTTTACTGGGAGTGTCCTTAACAAATACTCAAGATAGGATACAAAAGGGTTTTGCGGTCAAATATTTGAATAAATATATACAACGATTCGAAAGATTACACTACAAGACACATTAATTAGTACTTCAGAAATGATACAAAGATATTTTATGTAAATCGAACTCAACGTACTCAACAGGACAGGGATTCCTTAAGGCCAACATAATGTTTTGATCGAAACTTTCGTAGGCCCTCTATCGTGTAGGCCCTCTATCTAGGATTTTGAACATTTTCAAGAATAATCTTCTTCAAAAAATCCTACACCAAACTAGCCATATGTTTATAACACGCAATAAAAAAGGAGACCAAGTATCCAATGTTTTTTTCCGATTGCGATAAAAAAGTAAATAAAATTGGATCTAGTATTAACATTTGCTGAGCTGCAGCATAACGAATGACTTGTGTCAAGTTTTTTTTTTCAAATCGGTTCGGATTTACATATAACTCTGTCCGATTTTATATAAATGATACACCCAAGTCCATAGATTGTCGAATGACATGTGGATTGATTAAAGTCGGTTCATATATGAAAGTTTCGATCGATATACAAACATCCAACATTATTAGAGAGGCCATTTGTCAAGCTTGATATAAATTGGTATATAATACTAAATGTTTCAAAAAAATCCTAGGAACATATCTTGTATATACCCAAAGACACAGAGTCGGACGCCTTTCCCTTGGCAGCTTCAGTGCGTATGTGATAATGAATGCAACATTCTTCATTTATTTAAATTCGAAGTCGCGTGAAAAAATTCCATTTAGCTTTCTTAACATCGGTTTAATTGTCTTGAAAATTGATATTTCCTGTGCTTTTCAATAGACCTGCCATATTGCCAGATATGTCCTAAATACATATATAAATTAGAACAAAGTCTGAATTATAATTCAAAAATTCACAGGAAAATATCATTCGACCGGACAGTTGTTAGAAATAAAGTTTCTACTCCCACATATAAGTACTTTACAGTGCAAAATCTTATAATTAACATAGAGTTGGTCGAAAATATATGGGAGATCTTCGCCAATTTCTACAAAAAGCAAACAACTTCATTCTACGTTAAATTTTTTGGTTTGATGCATCATATTAATCTGAACCTATCTTAATCGGAATTGTGTGCAATCGGTCAAACCTTGACCCTATGGGAGATATATCTGAATCTGAACTGATTTTAACAATGTTAGGCTTTACTAGTCTTTAGTACGTTGTCCAAAATTTCGTTTCAATTGAGCAATTATGTGAACTTTTGGTTAACCAATAAGTTATGGGAATCGAATTTTGGTCTTTGGTGTAATATTTACATCAAATCAGAGAAAATATATATATATATGGGAGCTATATCTAAATCTGAACCGATTTCAACGCGTTCGTTTATACTAAATTCAGTACGATGTGCAAAATGTTGTGCCAATCGGCTTAACTTTGGGTATTTGGTGCAGCATTTACTTAAAATCGTACGAAACAATATATGGGCAATATTGCCAATTTTTTAATATTCCATTTTCAAAAAATCGGCTTTTTTGTTTTTGTGGCACATTAATGATTTTTGGTACACATATAGAGAAAAATGTTCTGACTCCGAAACCGTTCGCGATCAAATTTTTGGTTGATGCGCGCAAAAGTTATCGAGGTTTTAATTTTGGGCATAAGAAAAAAATCTTAAAATTACGCCGTTTATTATATTGACCAAAAACTTTGATATATATCTTCCTCTGTAAAATAAGAATATGAATATATTATAATAATCACGATAAAGTTGCACATCTTCGCGAAATATGAGATAAATAATAAAAATATAGGAGATTGCGTCAATATTTTCATTATATTAATGACATACACACACCTAAAAAATAATTTAAAAATATCTACATAATCTAAACACCATAATGAATCAAATGATATCAAAGTCACACAAGTCCGTGTAGCGGTTTCTAAATCACAGCGGCAACAAAACAAGATATTGAGGAAAAATATTTGTTTTTGGTTCGAAAAAATAATGTCATCATATTTATTTTTTTAATGGTATACAAGAAATTTCAGAAAAAAATGTTGGGGTTATTCTGCTATTTCACCCGAATTTCGCCGAAAAATTGACATATATAATAATAATCACTTTTTGTGTATAAGTATACGCCTTGCGGATTATATCAAGACCCTTCCGATAAATCTTAGAATTCTATAAATAGGTATAAATCTTAAAATGAAATAATATTATGAAATATACATTTCAAATTGCGTGTAAATCGCGTAATTCTCAAAATCATTTGATGCGCATGGGGCTTCCAGGAAGTACTGAAGTTCATCTTCCAATCCATATATATTTTGCGAAATTTCATTTGACGGCTAAGATGTGCCGCACGTTACATTGAAGTACCCAAAAAATCGTAAAACGCGAATAATTTCCGAAAACTCCATATGCCATTAACGCGCATCCGTTTTCGGTGTGCACCCTAAAAAAATACATCGATCTATACCGATTTCAATGTGGTCCATTAAGAACCATGGATGTGCGGGCTCAAACTATTTTTGAGATAAATTGGGTACATCTCTCTTTCGGCTGAAGTTTTTAAAGTTATCTTTTCGAAAAAGATCAAAATCGGTATGAGGTCATTTATTGAAGCGGAAATGATCCACAGAAAACGCGAATAAATCCGCGATATTTTCAAAAACATTTTTTGCCAAATTTCGTGTTTTTGGAAGGCCAGTTCCCGCCGTTCTAGTAGATGGATTTTCACGAAGAAGATTTTATATCATCCGAAACGTAAAAAACTTTACTGATCGCGGGTACCCGTATCATTCAGTTGACAGATCTACAAATTTGACCCGAAAAATATGTTTTTTAGAAATTTGTTCGCACAAAATTTTCACTTTCTGATGAGTATTACTCTGAAGCTGTGCATACAACATACACAAAATATATATCAAATTACTCAGATTCGCGACTACAATAATCTTATAATCGATTTTTAGAAATTCCTGTATGCGTATTAAAGCTAGAAGTAAAATTCAAAAAACACTCAAAATCGAGCTTCAAAATGTCAGCATCATTTAAAGGTAGATGCAGTTAAAATTTTGAAAAATGATACATAAAGGGCGTAGTCCCCATTTTGTTGGCTTCTAGTTTTACTTTGACACGAAGACCGTGAAATGAGTGGCTTAATTAGAAATCGATAGAGAACATAAAAAAACTGGTTCGCCTCAACGTGTTTTTACACATTTTTTTACATTAAAGTAGACACAGCTTCCACCAGAATAAAGTTTGGAGGTCAATATCATGAGCAGTTTGCAAAGACAGATCAATTAACCGAAAACTATTCACTTTTTTTCATATACTTAAGTAATTCCCGAGTTATAAAGGGGTGAACCTCCGCTTCAGCTATGTTAAAAAATTGGCAATATTGCCCATATATGGAAGCTATATCTAAATCTGAACCGATTTTCCCCCAATTTACATAGAACTCGTACTTGAACCAAATAATTTAGCTGTGTCAGGCTGACATGCATAAGTTATTCTATGCATATTCTCAAAAGAACAATTTGCCTATCTCGTTTCCTTTAGCCTGTTACAAGCTTATGCACAAATGCATAATGCCCTGTGCCACAGTGTTCTGAAGGGTAAAACAGACGGATCCTTATTTGTGGGGATAAAACAAATAAGTGGACATATGTAAATAGTGTTTTCCAAGGATATCTTGTAACACTCTGGGCACCGGAAATACTAAATTATAGTCACTTTAAATGGCAAAAGTTCCAAAAATGAAGTTTCGAACTACACCAGGACTTCGATGTAATGAATGAACCCACAACACAACAATTTATAAATTTCAGAAAATGTTATTAGAAATCTTTCTTTAATCTCAAAACCTAAAGCTCTAAAATACAAACACGTGAACCGAATTCAACCTAGTTGGTGAAACTTCTGTTAACCCAGACGATTCCTTAAAGAAATTGCATGGGGAAGTAGCGTAGAAGCACTAAATTTACAAATACAGCCTTGCCGAGATAGGTGTTAATATTTATTTTGGGAAACATATCTGATGTTACCATTGAATTTTGTAATAAATGATTTGAACCAAATTTCGGAATATATAACAAATCCTCGGAATTGTGTAAAGATAATCCGAAGTGGAATTAGTCTACAAACACAAGAGTATCGAACGGGATACTCGGTTTCAGTAGCAATTCTGCAATCTACACAAATACCTGACATGTACCTGGTCAACTATAAAATATTTTTAACATTTCTATTGTAACAGAACAAGAAATCATGCAAGAAGGAATATGTATCCATGAAGTACAAAAGAAATCAACATTGTCTACCTCATCAGAATAAGGTCCTTCAGGGAAATTTCCGAGCAAGGGTGTATAAATAAAATTTTAGTTTAATATACATAACAATCAATTTAAATGCTGCCTGTTTCAATGGAAAATGGTTAGTTTGTGGTTAGTTTGTTAGTGTGGAACTATTTGGAGAGCATACATAAGGTACACTATCCACCTTGATGAGTGAAACCACAATACCGCGATGATCAACAGGGCGCCACGCCAATGGTTTGGCAAGATCCACATTTCTATGGACAAACATCACCCTTTCAGGTTAGAGGTCGAAGCATCTATCAGTTTGACCTCAAGTCCGGACCGGTAATCCAATTAAAATGTAGACAAACACACTAAGCACAACAATGTCCTCTCGGACTGCACAAAGAGACCGCTGCAACGGACAATACAACACCAACACTGGGTATAGCCACCCTCACGTATAGTATGCACGATACCCACAAGTGTATTATGGACAAAGACCATCTCCATTAGGTACCGTCCTTCTCCTAAACACCTCACGTGCAAAACTACTTAAACAACTAAGGCCCGATCATCTTCAAGTACCCTACAGAAATCCCAGAACATTCGCTATCCATACTTGCTAAATCCCTAATGTTATTATAGTAACAGCATAACATATGATTCCAGTATTCTGCCATCAGCCTGCAATACTCTTCATTTATGAAAAAGTGCATTTAGAAAACTATACCCTGTCAGTAGAATACCTGTTTTTAAGCCGAGGCGAAAGTCTGGCAGGTAAAGTACAAACGTCGTGTCATGAATAAAATCGTACGTCATCCTTCCTTTGTCACTATTTCTCCAACTATCAACAACGTACTCCTGAATAATAGTGCTGTACCAGATTTTATCCCCATCTACTAGATCAGACGGTCTGAGCCATTTATCTTTACCCAGCTACAACTCACGCTTAAGCTTATATTTAATAACCCCATATTTCTATCAAGCGGCACCGCCGCAAGCAGCACTTGTAACGTGGATGCGATACACTGGCAAACATGCTAGCATGACGATCCACTGGCAGGAAAGCAGCTTGTTCAGATCCAGCACATTCTCGTCAGTTCTGTATCAAATAGGTGACCGATATTTTTTACTGGCAACAAATAGCCCGTCATATATTATAAGAACTGACCGTCTGTTCAAGCCCTATCTCCCCGTAAAATGCGCCTGTTGGTCCCAACGAATATTGTTAACCTCTCTTTCAACCGATCAAAGTGTAAAAAGGAATTTCATTCTATGAAACATAGTTATTCCAAGATACTTAACGTACTTGCAAACCTATCCAGCACGGAGGACGACTATGTGCCAAACATTTCTTAAGCAACATCAGTAATGTCTTATCAGTCGCCAACTCCACTCCAACTCGGTCACTCAAGCCATTCCTTCTTTACTCCTGCGTAGCAGCGAAACCGTTGATTTATAACAGAGAGTTCTGCATCCTCGTTCTAATTATTCGCTTTATTTTCTGGGTATTTTCTTTTTGTTTTTCCTCCTTTGAAAGTTAACATCGCCTTGTTATTTGATGTGACCATAAATATATACTGGCAGTCACGTTTTCCTGGACGTTCCGTTGCATTGGATATGTCAATGACGTACATTCTGGTCGCATTTGGCACCGTCCTGCTAAATAATGTTTTCCTTTCGTTGGCACCGTTTCGTGTGCGCGTCATGTTCGGCTATATTGTGTCCTTTACCACATTGGTGTTTGTGGCCGTGTGTGAGGTGGCCTGGCATATGTTTGCCGCCAACACAGCCTATACGGTCAATTTGGCAGCTGTCTCATTGGTGGCGATTGGTTGTACAGGTGAGGAAGTGGTATAAGGTGATAAGTGCCAACGAAAAAAAAAAGGTGGTGGTGATGGCATGAGGGTGGTGCTGATGGTGTTATGTCGTGAAGTTATTAATTGATGTCTTCTTCTTTTTTGCAGTTCAACAATCAAGTTTTTATGGCTTTGCCAGCATGTTCCCCAAACGTTATACCCAGGCAGTGATGGCCGGTGAAAGTTTGGCTGGATTTTTGGTGTCTTCCAATCGTGTCGGTACAAAGCTGTTGATACAAAATGACCGCATCTCAACGGTGATATTCTTCTTCACCTCAACGCTGTATATTCTGTTTAGTTATTTGTTGCATTTGGCCACCATCAATTCGCCATTTGTCCGTTATCATATGAGAGCGTGTGCCAAGATTGTCCTAAGACCGGACGAGGATCGGTTGGTAAGTATGAGAATACTTATAAATTTGTTCAATATAATTTGTCGCTGAATAGCTCCGACATTGTCATAAACTTAGGTAGTATAATAGTATAGGTAGTATAATCCTGTAAGGACTTGTTTGACCTCCAGATATGATATTTACGACGGGCCATTTTTTAAATATTATTTTAATCTACATTCTACAATTACATCAATCCTCTGAAAAAAATCCTGATAGGCCTGTTGATTTAAAAGAGCATAATTTTTCCAACTATCCGTATATTATGAAGATGCACTTTGCAGTGATCATTGCTTTTAAAACCGAGCGAATAGGATCAGAACATCTGAGTAGACGAAGATTCATAGAGTTTGGTAGCTCTAAAATGAGCTAGTTCAAGGGGACTATTCCGCAAAAGGAATGATCGGTAATAGGTCCAACTATTTTGTTCTACTTTTCGATTTTGACAAACCTGTTCAAAATCGAATTTCGATTTTTACCGACTAATGTAAAAGTTATTTATTATACGAATTGTTGTCAACAGATAAAATAAAGTTCTGGAATGGGTAATTTTTGGACAATTTGGGCGTTGTAATAATAAACCAAGTATTTATGAAGAAAATCGAAACTTTATTTTGAAAAATCAACTTTGTGATTTATTCAAAGAACAAAAGTCGACTTCGACTTTTAGATTTTTTATACAAAAAGCCGATTACTTACTTATTTATTTACCCCCACTCCAGTCGTTCAATTTCGTTCTCGTTTATCTAGTTCCTTTTGATCCAATCGTTCCGTTCATTGACCTAATTAACTGACGTGTACCAATATTGAACTAAATGGAACTTAATAAATCCGAAAAAGATCGAACTGCTTCGGGAACGAGGTTGCTCAACTCTGAAGATTAACTAATGCGTAGATACATTGGCATATACCTGAGATACTCAAGCGGAAAAAGTCAGTCAAAATTGATTCCCCTGCTTATGATTAAGACACTCTAAAATGGATAAGATGTGGTGGTGTGGTCATGCAGGGGTACAGTGCATCCATTTGCTTTATCATTACCATAGAGATTCCGTCAATACCAAGAGTTATCGATAAAGTAGGACTTCTGATAACACAATAATTCAAAATCAACCTAGACCGCTGACACTCTTTATCTAGATTCCCATGGATGACGAAACTGTCTACCCTTTATTATGGAGTGTCATTCTCTTTTAAGATGACGAATTTAGAGACTAACCCTAAACAACGATTATGGTATCAGTACGGCGTTAAAAAGAAATCAGCCGACATGGATTTTATCGCCAGTCATAGACACAATATAAATGGAGGCGCTATCGACCCAATAGGTGGTCTTTGGTGGATGGTTATTTTGTTAAGTGGTGTTTTAACGTTCCCTTGGCTCTTTAGGCTTGTGTACGTGTACTGTTAAGTGGACTGCGGTTGTAGCGTTCCCTTCTCCCTTCAGACGTTTGCTGAGTGGGCTTTAGATATGAGTGTGGTTTTAACGTTCTATCAGCTCTTAGGTTATGTGTGTCCACTGTTGCGTGGAGTGGGGTTTTAAGGTTCCCTCCTCTCTTCAGTCCGCTGTGTGGGTAGTCGGTAGAGTTGAGTGGGGTTTTAACGTTTCCTCGACTCTCCGACTCGAGCCGTGCGTGGCACAGTGTCCTAATCGTTTTTGGGTTGCCTATACTTGTGCCGACACTGTCCGTCCTCTGAGCTTTCCCAGCTTCAATGTGGAAAAACACGTCGTCACAACTTTATTCGTGCTGAATGTAGTACCTGATGAGATGACTCCTGATCTCATCACAAATGTGCGACGGGAGAAACTAGAGAAAAAAGAAACGCACGGTGTTGACGGTTCCGTGATTCGAGGTGAACTCATTTTATTTATAAATGACGTACAGTTCACTAAACTACAGTACCGACAGCGTAGTTTTAATAAATCCGCGCCCAATTCTAATTACGACCATTGCTGGCATGGTGAACGTAGTAGAGGTAAAACTACTCTGTTAAACCTAGACCTACGAATACGTGAGAATACTATTCTGACTAGCTCAAAATACATCCTGGTCTAGATATTCCTTTTTATATCTATGAAACATTATCTCTGGATCATGAATGTTCTTCCTGAAATGCCTGTCTGAGGGAGTTTTAATGTGCTGAGGAAGGGGCGTATCTTCGTCTCCTCATGTTGCTGAATGACTGGCTTCTTGTTACATTAAACGATCCGATGTTCTCAGAAATCGAAATACTTCTCCATAGCATTGTACTAGTTTTCGTAGACTACACTGATACCTCAATGTTGGCCACAGTCCGACTAATCGCTTTATCAACAGAGGTCAATAAGGTTTCTTTGTCTACTTTCCGAGGCTGTGGGTAGGGAATTGATGGTCCACCGGATTAATTGGGAGGCTCGCTGTTGCCGTTTACAAGTCGGCGTTCTTAAAAGTCTTTATACGTTTTCATTGCCTAGCATTATTATTCAAAGGGCGACACTGCTGTTGCATAGCTGGGCACAAGCCAAGGTTTCGATGTCTATGCCCCAATTGCAGCCAGAGAGCAGCTTAAAATGACTATCTCAGAAACACACCAGAATTGTTCCTATACTTCTGACTTAAAGGAAGAGTATATCTGATCACTTATATGGTTCAGTGGAGTCAGGATGGGGCACCCTGTCGCAATTTACAAAGCGGGTTCCTGACAAGTTTGAATAGTCTTTCGCAGATCACACTGATGCCACATAGATGGTTATATATTCCTCGCTTGGAAGATATAGTTGTTCAATCTTACAACTATGCCTCCAATGATAGTATTAAAATTATACAGACAGCCGCAGCTCGTCTGTATAATAAATTAAGACACGACACGGTGCTCCCGACCGTACTAAGTGAGTGGTTGTAAGGCACTAATTTTATTTTAAAATATTTATCCTTAGGTTCTACTTAAACAACTCTTTCTTAGCCTAATCTCAAACACAAAATACTATCAGCAAACTATTTGTTCTAATAATAGAATTTGATCTGTGGAGAGTTTTCCCATCGTGTGCGTCATAAAATCTCACCACCAACAACAACAGTCTTATCAGCGTACCGTGTGGGATTTTAGACTCTTATCTTAAAACACTCCAACGATCAAATCTTCTGTAACACAGAATTCTGTTCAAAGTATTTTGAACATGCTGACGACTGGCAAGAAGAGCTGATAAATTATATTTCTGTTCAAAGCATTTTGAACAGATAGGATGTAATGATATGATATCTGGAGGTCGTGAAATGCCGAAAATATTGAGGTTAAATAGCTCCGTAGATATCACTTCACTTTAGCAAACCTCTCGTTTAATTCTGCGGAGTTTGGATTTCTTGTTGTCGACCAACTACGACATATAATTGAGGATAGTATTTTTGACATCCATAAACATAGTGGTATTACTTATGGCATCAAAGGCTTTTAATAGGTCATGCGCTACCTCTACTTATAATTCTGGAGATGATAAGTAATGCTGTTCAGTTGTTTTCGAAAACCATGATGATCTGCAGCAGGATAGCTTTCTCAGATTTTTTACATTTTTCAATGTAGATGTCCTTTTGTAAAATAATCAATGACAAAATCTCTGATCAGAAGCTCGGAGCAATTAATAATTGTCGTTCTAGACCTAGCGAAACGAAAATAATACCATTAGGATTATCGCGATTCTCTCTCCATGTTTCAAACTTAATTTTATTTAACTTTTTCTTCTTTTACAGAACGAAATCGATGGTTCCACTCCGACAGCCAAATATGGTGTATTGACATTGGAGCCCAGCAGTCCCACGGTACCGATACCAAATAAAACCACACCGGCTGCATTGAGTTTCAGTAATCCAGTGTACGAACTATCGAACCCCTCCGCTGGTGAAAGTGTTATTGAGGGCCTGAATAATTTACCCGATATACCCACAACACCACAGGAACCGGCAACACCCACAACGGTGGCTTTTAAAGTGGAGCACGTATTGACACCTGGCACATGTACCCCTGGAAAATTAAGTGATTTAAAAACAGGCTTTGCATCACGATGGCAGGTGGCCCAATCCATTTACCCATATATGGTTTGCATTGCTTTGGCCTATTGTGTAACGCTGTCGCTATATCCTGGAATAGAATCGGAAATTATTTCCTGCAGTTTGGGTACCTGGATGCCGGTACTGCTGATGTTTACATTCAATACTTCCGATTTAATTGGTAAAACATTGGCTGGTGTGCCATATCCATGGTCGAGGAGACAACTGATTTTGATGTCGGGATTGAGAATTGTATTGGTCCCACTGCTGCTGTTGTGTTGTGCTCCGCGTCATCAACCGGTTATCTCGGGGGAAACGGCCGCCTTCATTTTTACCATTGCCTTGGGTGTGAGTAATGGTTTGGCGGGTAGTCTCCCGATGATGTTGGCACCGGCCAAGGTAAATGCTACGCTTAGAGAAGTTACGGGAAATATGATGACTTTGTCCTACAATGTGGGGCTGACGGTGGGCTCATTTATTGGCTATGTTTTTGAGTCGATGCTGGGGGCACAGCTGACAAATCCTTGCCCCAAATATCCCTACATAATGGATCATCCACAATATCCACATTATACGGCGACTACCACAAGTTCTTCGTTGCTGGGTAATGCCACCGCCATTGCATCGGCCATTTTGACTTCCACAATGCCACCCAGCGTGGCCAGTGCAAGTATTGCAAGCAGTACTGGAAGTACTCCCACTATGGAAACATCCACAATGTTATCGATTTTAAATAGCAGCAGCACAACATCGGTGGCAGCAATTGGCTCGATTACCACCGCAGCACCGAGTGTGGTGGCGGCGACAACATCTACAGCCACCTTGGCAGTGTTATCCACTGTGGCTGCCACAGTGGCCACAATACCCGATGTCGTGAATACCGTTGTCAACACATTGGTCACGACGATAAATGATCTCAGTTCGGAGTTAATGAATGGTGGCGGTACAAGTACCGGTGATCCTCAGACCCCATTGGAACTAATGAATAAAGTTTAGATTTGTCGATATTTGTTTTTATTTCTTTCTTTGTTTTCCAAAGTGTATTTTGTAAGCCGGCAAGAAAAATAGAAGAAGAAAAAGACAAAAGAGAAAGAGAGAGAGAGTGTATGTGGATGCGTGAGTGATTGAATGAATGAATATTTGTTTTGTTCTTATTTGAAATAATAGATAATTTTGAGAAATGAGAGTGAATGAGATTGTGTGTATGAGTGAGAGAAAAAGAGCGTGAGATTTAGAATTAGTTATATCTAGACACCTAGTTGTATAATGTCCATGTCTTAAAAAATATTATAGAAAGAAGAAACACGGTAAAAAATATTATAACAAATAATTATTATTTAAGTTTTTGAAAACAAAAAGGTTTTGTAGTGGACTAAGACGCTAATTTGTAAAGGTAGTACTGAAATTGAAGTTTAAGAATAGATATCTAGAGGTATCTGTTTTGTTTACATCGACTAAAGGAAAGTGTAGTTGGAAATAAATTTTCGATACAAAACATGAAAAACTGCGTAAAAAAGATAACTATAAAATGTGTCGTGTGTACTTGGTGCAGACATCAGGATAGGGAATAATTAATTGGCATCCTAGCATCCGCAGTATTGATCCAGTGTATCTGCACCACTTTAACACTGCGGTGTCGATTATGATGGTCCTTTACAGCTAATATTGAGAATAGATAGAAGTCAGAAATCATTTAAAGGTTATGATACATGCATGGCGACATTTGGAAGCGGTTATTGGGTTAGATACGGAATCATTTCTACATCATTTCATTTCCACAAGGGTAAAAGTAGCAACATGTACTCCGGTTGAATGCAGATTTTGCTGATGCTGTACGAAAATATTCTGAAATTGGCAATAGTAGTTCGAAAAAAGTTTTGGATACTAAACATGAAAAACTGCATAAAAAAGATTACCATAAAATGTGTCGTGTGTACTTGGTGCAGATATCAGGGTAGGGAGTAGCTAATTGGCATCCTACCGCAGTATTGAGTCAGTGTATTTGCACCACCGAAACACTGCGGTGTCGATTATGCTGGACCTGTACATTTAATATTGAGAATAGGTAGAAGTCAGAAATCATTTAAACAGGATAGCTTTGCCTGACATTATTTTTTTTCAATGTACAAATTCTTTTGTTAAAAATAGATAACTAGAGGGATAAAAGTAAAGACATGTACTCCGGTTGAATTCAGATTTTGCGGACGCTGTACGAAAAAAATCAGAAATTTGTGAAATATTAGAGAGGCAAAAAGTTAAATGGAATTTTATTTCGCCAGCAAGTCCTCACTTCGGAGGAATCTGGGATGCGGTGATGAAGTTCATGAAATATAATCTCAGGATAGTAATTGGCATTATTGATGGCATCAAAGGCTTTTGATAAGTTAAGCGCTACCAACACCGTTCAATGGCAGCACCAGTTCTGCTCAATTGTTGCCGGAGCCCATGATGATCTGCAAAAGCATAGCTTTCTCTGACATTATTTTTTCAATGTAGAAATCCTTTGTTAAAAATAGATAACTAGAGGGATAAAGAAAGGTACCGATAAAAGTACCGACATGTACTCCGGTTAAATGCAGATTTTGCGGATGCTGTACGAAAAAATTCCGAAATTTGTGAAATATTAGAGAGGTAAAAAGTTAAATGGCATTTTATTTCGCCAGCAAGTCCTCACTTCGGAGGAATCTGGGATGCGGTGATGAAGTTCATGAAATATAATCTCAGGATAGTAATTGGCATTATTGAGGGCATCAAAGGCTTTTGATGAGTTAAGTGCTACCCACACCGTTCCATGGAAGGACCTGTTCTTCTCAGTTGTTGTCGGTAACCATGATGATCTGCAACGGGATAGCTTTTTCAAAGTAGGATCCATTTTTTAACAATAGATCACTAGAGGTATCTGTTTTGTTTACATTTGTATGGAACCATGGTGCAAGAATACAAGGTAGGACAACTTGAGGTGAATAGCAAAAATGCAAAAATGTAGGTCAAATGTAGAAAAAATACGCAGCAAGCAAGCAGCATCAGTTTCATTGTAATTAAATTGAATTTACTTGACATAGTTCCCTCAGAAATGATTTGATGGAGTTTTGTAGAAAATATACCAGACATTTTTGACAATTCGTCAATGAAGAATGTGGACAATTCTTTATTTTTTGTTTGTTTTTGTATACACCTCTAGGTGTCTTTTTTAATTTAGAAAATATCAGATACTTCAGTACTACCTTTACAACTTAGTCTTAGCCCATACTGGGGTTTTAATAAAAAAATAATAAAACACCCCTGAAACCTCTAACTGCTGTGTGTAAATACATTTTTTTTAGAAAAATATATAAATATATATTATTTTGTATTTCGTTTTCAATGCGTTCGATTTAATATTTTAGGCCATAAGAGCAATGTTATGCAGAATATTAAAATTATTAACTTTAAAAAATCAACAATAAAACCAAAGATGTGCAAAATCGCTACATACATATGTATATCCAAAGAAAAAAAGACGTATGTTAAGAATAATTGATCATTAAATGTCAATATGTTTTTCCAAATTATATATGATTTTTTATTTTCATTGCATTAGTTTATTAAGTATCATAATGTGAAATGGCGCCCAATGTGAGGAATGGATTCTAAAGAAAATTTAGACTTTTCCATACAAAATGTCGATTAATCGGTTAGTCGAAAGTTGATTTACTAATCCCTATTCTATGTTATGTCCTCTATTTGATGGCGTGCCCGTTGGCGCCCAACATTTGAATTCTCACTCGAGAAAAGTTTGAATATGTAGAGTTTTATGTGTAGTTGTGAAGCGTATTATTCCCCAGATCAATCCTGTGAAACATTTCCTACTCGTCCAAGTTCTACTATTAATACCAAAGTTTTCGAGAGCATGCATTCCATTTCGAATGGAATGGACCAGTAACCATAATAAAATGTACACCGTAGGTGCGTTTTCCGTATTTTCCTAATAATGCCTAATTCGAATTAAACTTATGAAAAGTAATATCACAAAGGACACGCAAAAATCTTTTTGCATCATGTCAAAGGAAGATAAGGGGAAACTGTCTTACATAAGATACATTGTGGATACTAAGGAAATGGGGACACAAGATGTTTGTGTCGACTTCATATTGTTTTGTTAGCGATGAGGAAATTATCCAATTATACCTTATCGGTTGTCTTCAGGAGGACAATTATGATGATCACTTCTATGGTTTACCAATATTAATCGCTATTTTAAGGAGCTTAATTTCAATAATCCAACTACATTTTGGTGGAAGTTCTAATCGGCATTCAAACATCGCTTTCATCTAAATGAGATGAAGTTTTTAATGTCCGAACCAGTAAGGAAAGTAGAAAAGTCGGACAGGACCGAAGAGTTTTATTATAACAGACGTAATATTTTTAAATAATCATGGCATGAAATGGGATGAAATTAAATATGTGATATGTGTATATAAGAGAAGCAACACATCTCATTCTGCAATCTATGAAAAATTTTATTCCAATAGGGCAGACTTAGAATCCTTGGTGTGCCATTTATAGGAATCAGATAAATTTATGAGAATATGGACCGATGTAAAGCAAACATGACATAAAATATATGTATATGGGACCTATACCTTCATTTGCACCAATTTGAATAAAACTTCGTCGTAATAAACAAAATAGCCCGAAAATGTATATATTAGCTATATCTAAATCTGAACTGATTTCAACAAAACTTAATACATGTCATTCTATACTCAATGCGGTTCGGATTTCAAAATTTCGTCTCAATTAGAAAAATATTGGAAGTTAGGTTTAGCATTTACATTAAATCGGCCAACTTATATACGGGATCTGAACCAATTTCATAACGCACGTCATTGTAGGCTCAATTAAATACGTTATACAAAATTTCTTCTCAATCATGCGAGTTTGGTTTACCATTTACTTCAAATTGGACGAAAATATATATGTATATGTGAGCTATATCTAAATCTGAATCGATTTATGCGAAACTTAACACACGTCATTTTAGACTCAAATCAATTCGCTGTGCAAAATTTCATCTCTACAGGATATATAATTGTTTGGTGCACCATTTACATAAAATCGGACATAAATATATATGAGAGCCATATCTAAATCTGAACCGATTTCAACGAAACATAGCACATATTATTCAAGCCTCAACTTAATACGCTATTCTAAACCACAACACATATAGGCTCTTCGGAATATGTATATGAAAGCTATATCTAAATCTGAACCGATTTTTGACAATTTCCACAGGATTAGTCATTGGTCCAAATAAATGAGCTGTAACAAATGTTATCCAATGCAGCATGTATATTGTTTATAATTTTACATTGTTTATGATTTTTACGTCAACATACGGGATGAACGGACTAAGGGGCATGCATAAATCGACTCAGAAATATATTTTACGCATATTCTCAAAAAGAAACCGTGGGTTCATCTTGTTTCCTTTTGTCTGATACAAACATATAAGCAAATACATAATACTCTGTACGACAGTGTGGTGAAGGGTATAAAATGGAGATTATATTCGGGCTAACCCCCAAAAGAGGGTAAAATTAATCTTGTTTGCTAGGGAGATTTGTTACCAAATAGGAAAAACGCACTCAAAATACCGACAAATCGGGAGCTCTCTAAAAATACTCATTTTTGGAGGAACGATTTTGTTCCCAATTAGCTCCCAACATACCAAACAGCCGATTCGATTGTAAAACTTGTCCAAAAACCTCAAGTTCCGCATATTTGCAGGTGCAGTTATATGGGGGCTACACCAAGGAAGTTGTCCAATATTGATATTGATTTTTAGCAGAGAGATTTCAATTGGGAATTTCAAATATCAAATTACAATAATTTCGGTTTAAAAACTTGCTCAAACTCCCCCAAATACCGACATTTTGGGGTACCGAAAAAATGGACAGATATTAATTAAAGGCATTTCTGTCGAAAACCCCACTCAATAGCGCCCAAGTACG